CAACAACATCCAAAGAACTGCAGGCCTCACTTGCCTCAGTTAAGGTCAGTGTTCATGACTCCACCATAAGAAAGAGACTGGGCAAAAATGGCCTGCATGGCAGAGTTACAAGACGAAAACCACTGCTGAGCAAAAAGAACATAAAGGCTCGTCTCAGTTTTGCCAGAAAACATCTTGATGATCCCCAAGACTTTTGGGAGAATACTCTGTGGACTGACGAGACAAGTTGAACTTTTTGGAAGGTGTATGTCCAATAACATCTGGCTTAGAAGTAACACAGCATTGCAGAAAAGGAACATCATACCAACAGTAAAATATGGTGGTGGTAGTGTGACGGTCTGGGGCTGTTTTGCTGCTTCAGGACCTGGAGGACTTGCTGTGGTAAATGGAACCATGAATTCTGCTGTCTACCAAAAAATCCTCAAGGAGAATGTCCAGCCATCTGTTTGAGACCTCAAGCTGAAGCGCACTTGGGTTCTGCAGCAGGACAATGATCCAAAACACACCAGCAAGTCCACCTCTGAACGGCTTAAGAAAAACAAAATTAAGACTTTGGAGTGGCCTAGTCAAAGTCCTGACCTGAATCCAACTGAGATGCTGTGGCATGACCTTAAAAAGGCAGTTCATGCTCGGAAACCCTCCAATGTGGCTGAATTACAACAATTCTGCAAAGATGAGTGGCCAAAATTCCTCCACAGTGCTGTAAAAGACTCATTGCCAGTTATCGCAAACGCTTGATTGCAGTTGTTGTTGTTAAGGGTGGCCCGACCAGTTGTTAGGTTTAGGGGGCAATCACTTTTTCACACAGGGCCCTGGATTTCTTTTTTTTTTCCTTAATAATAAAGACCTTCATTTATAAACTGCATTTTGTGTTTACTTGTGTTATCTTTGTCTAATATTTAAATTTGTTTGGTGATCTGAAATATTTAAGTGTGACAAACATGCAAAAGAATAAGAAATCAGGAAGGGGGCAAACACTTTTTCACACCACTGTGTATATATATATAAATATATACATATATATATATATATATATATAACATGACAAACACTGCACTTTGCCCCCCCCCAAGGCTTGTACTTGCGCTTGTACTCAGTGCTTTTTGCAAACATCAGACATAAGTTCTGCCTGAATCAGACTCACAGACAGCTTTTTTTGTAGTGTTAAGAATGCAATTAAGCAGCACAGCTGCCAATTATTGTCTTAATGTAAAAGTAACAATGTTGATCAGGGCTGTGACACTGCAAAAATCGGCCAAATTTTCGTTTTTATTTTTTCACCCAAAGATTATTAGACTGCGTTCATTTAGTGTGCTTTATGCACTCCACTCTCTCACCTGTGAGGCCCCACCAGGTGGGGCAGCGGCTGGTCAGCTTGACCACGCCTGACGCAAACATTAGACGGAATAGCAGCCAGCGTGTCAGCCAGAAGGTTATGTCGTCATGGAGGCTCACCCTCCATCCCCAGGGTATGTTCATGGGTGCAATGACGATGGCCAGAAAGCCCACCTCCAACAGCAGATTATCCCTGAGTATGAAACAGAGAGAGAGAGAGAGAGAGAGAGAGAGAGGGAGAGAGAGAGAGACTGTTGGATTTGTGTATGACATACTTAAAGTATTTCACATCATTGCGTGTGTTGCAGTAATCGTTTTGACGTGTATGTGATGTGTATGACAGTGTAACTAGCCTAGGTTTTACTGCTGTCAAGTTTGTTTTGTATCCAAGTTACAGAGCAGCCTCACGGTGTCAAGAAAAGCAACACACACAATAACTCACCCCTGCTCAAACCATCCCAATACACACACACAGGCTGAAAAGATTTAAGTTGAACCTGTACTCACCACTGGAAGTATAGGAAGACTTGTCCCACCTGTAAAAACAGCATCGTGAGAAAGGGCTATTTAAAAAGCCAGCATTGTGCATTTAACAGTACTGTACTTGTGGTGCACTTTAAAGGGACACGACACCACACCACAGCTGCAGGCTAGTGCTTTCTAACAGTCATGTAATCCACCAGTCCTGTTATCCTGCTCGGACACGTCTGATTCGGCCAATGGCGCACTTAATCACCAGCTAATGATATGACTAAGGGAAAGCACAAAATCAGTGTAGTACAAGTCGATACAGGAGTGGAGCTGGAAAGCACAGCTGTAGGATATGCTGTATCTGATGAGTGACACTGTACCTGGTAGAGTGACAGGTAGAGCACCCACAGCACCAAGTAGACTCTGCAGTCTCTGAGGGCGGGTATGGCTGTAGCTGCCAGGCTCAGCAGAGCTCCAGTTAGACTGAGCAGCTCCATACACTGCTGAGTGTCGAGACCAAGCTTGGGACCAAACCACAGCAGGGTGGGCAAGTCTCTCAACTGCTCCCACACACTTTTACCAGAGATCCTGAGCATCCATCGAGCCGGTAACATACCCTCATTGCCATAAAGACCTTAAAGAGGGGTGGTGGGAGGGTGGAAAAGAGAACACTCAGAAGTCTGTGCTACAGACAACAAAACCACAAAGTAAGCGTGCTAAAGATCTTTCTTTTTAGCCTACAGGCTTTATATTAATAAGCTGTTGTGTGTAATCACACTGCATATGGACCTAATTCAACAAAAAATAACATTTCTTCTTTTTTTAGCAAAATGGTACTTAAGGGGCGGTCAGAGAGAAATCTTAGTGAAACATCCACAAAGCAAGGATGCTGGACACTCATTTGGACCAACTTGCACACAGCCTTTCACTAAACCCATCAAGCATTAAATGCATTAAGCCCTGATTTAGGACTATGATATTAAACTGAAGTAACATGGTTTATGGCGAATAAGAAGCTAACTTGAGCCTCGTTATTTCAGTTTATATCATAGTCTTAATGGATTTAATGACTAGAGTGGTTTAGTACTGCAAAATCCCTTTAAACTTCAATATCTATTTTAGACCCCGTACTGTAAAGAATAATATTCAGTCCTGAATTACCAACACAAACTTGCTTTCCCTCACAGAATCTGCTAATGCTAGCTTGCTAACCTAGCTAACTAACTACAGCTTAAACTGACAACTGACCGTTGTTTCACCATGTCTAATTACTTGCATTTCTGCAACAGCTCTGGCTGGCTTCCTTCTACTTTAGTCATAAACAGAGAAGTAGCTGCCACGCTAGCTAGCTTTGTTTCTACTCACTAGTAACTGATAACGGAGCAGCTGTCTAGCTAAACTTCCAGCCACTCAAAGTTTTGCAGTAAGTAAATCTCACCTGGAATCTGCACGTAAACAGATGCAAAGGCAAACATATAGATTGCAGACAGACACCACAGAAACATGTATCTCGGTAATCTTGTTTCGCCCATTTCTTTACATATATCACTAGCCCTTTGCAGTCTGTGTATGTTTGGGTTGGAGGTGTCCAGCAGTCCAGCAGCAGCAGCGCCGTGGGGGAAGAACGCTCCAGCAGACACGTCGCCCCCTGAGCGTTATGGAAGCGACAAATGGAAACGCCACTGCGCATGCGCCACTATGCATGGCCACAGTCAGGCAAGACGACCTCTATGGGCAAAGGAGCAAGTTTCAGAAGATAAATCACAGCCCCCTCTTTATTCTTCGTTTAACACACAGCCTAGATTGGACATAGAGGCTATTATTTTTCAGTGTGTAAGGAAGAGACCACAGCTGTTGTTACACTCAGTAGGGTGAGTTCAGGAAAAGCGGGTGAAGTAAGGTTCGCGCTGCACTACCCTGTTAATGGCAGGAGACTTTGGCTGTGTTCGACATAGCCTACTGACTCTGCCCAAAAGTAGTACGTAGTATACAGTAGTGCGCAGTATGCTATTTCGAACACCGCCATTCAAATATAATCACGATGAAACTGTTGTCATTGGCCTGACATCATCGGTGTGGGCGTGGTCACAATCCGTCTGATTCTGCAGAGCGCACGATTAGTGGACCGAGAAATAACATCTTTTTTTTTTTAAGATTATTAGTAGGCCAATGAAAAGCTTTATATTGTTACTTTTATTTTTTACCTTTTTAACATGCTTTACTGCACATGCTCAATAAAGGGACATCTTTTAACATCATTGCAGTGTTATGATAATTTATGTCCACACTTATAAGAGCTTCGTCAACGTCCTAACTACTACTGTATGTTATCAATGTATTTCAGGATTGGTACCAAGCTGTGGCTACACCTGTATGATGTGGTGCAAAAAACTGTAGATCATTCCTTTCAGTCCTACAGACTTTATATTGATGAGCTGTTGTGTGGAGTCATGTTGCATATAGATGTCCGTCAACAAAGTATGTGACAATCACTGTGTGTGTGGAAGAGTAGACGGGGCGGCCTGACTCAGGGAGGACACCTTAGTGCAGGTGCTTTGAGAGAGAGCACGGTAAGGAGTTCAGCCGGTTCATCTTTTAAAGGAATTTGTTTTTGAAAATCATGTTTAGTTTATGATTGTTGGTCAGTTGGCCAACTGAAATTTAATAATTGGTCTACATAGTACTGTTCTTCCAGCAGGTTAAAGTAAGTTTCCAATAAGTTCAAATCACTGTCCGTTTTAATACATTTATGGTACATCTAGGGGGCTTGTGACAACTCACAAAATGACAAAAGAGCATATAGCTTTTGGTTAGGGTGCCCTGCATGGAATTTGTGTTAAAGGATTTAACACGTGTAATAGCTACCATTTCTGGGATGTTAGTGACTGAAGTATGGGAAACACAGCTGACCAAAACACTGTGAAATGCAGTGTACACAAATTCTTCTGTCTTCCTTCATGGGTTTTCTGTGTCCAGGCAACCTCTAGCCATTGACTGGCTGTGAAGATGATTGGAGTCATAACAAAAAAATATCATTACTAGCTGCCAGCAACATTTACAACCACCTGCTGATAACGCTGATTCCTCTAAAATTGTCTCTCAGTCTCTTAAAAAAAGGATTAGGTATTATTTTAGTTCTAGGAATCTTAATGATTAATCATTTCAGAATTGAAAATGACTACCAACACATCAGGCCCAGTAATTAACATAGATATTTTAATTACTCTGCACCATTTGATTTGTCCTCAGGCAAACAGACAGACAGACATACACTGTAGACCATCAGTCTATAAATGAGTAGAGGTTTCAGCAAGGTGCCAGCCTCTTCAAGCCAACGGCCTTCTTTTCCCCTCCATCTGTACATTCAAGTCTTTCCTGGGCACTTTGCTTTGGCATTCCTCTGCCCTCATATATAAGTATGGAAAGAATTAGCTGGCATTGCACATGCAAGAATAAGAAACCAGGATCAGTGAGGGTTAATCCCAAACTGCTTTTTTACAGAAAACGCAGCCAATCTGGCACATGGTTTAAAAATAGAAAAAAAAAATATTTCCAGCATCTTTGCATGATTGAAATATGATCAGTAGTAGTACATCATGAGAGATGTCTAAAATGACACAAAGCGTGGCAGGATTTGTGTGTTCAGCACGCTGAACAGGACGTAGGCATGAGTGCGTGTGTTTACTTCATTCCTTTGGTGGAAAAATAAAAGATGGCCACTGAAAGACTCTCAATGTTGACACTGTTAGACATTCTTTGCAGACGCACACACTCTATAAACGTCACATATCTTTTTAGCTGCCTCGGTCTTCTCTTGGATGAACGGAATGTCTACAAACATGGCCGATAAATAAAAGCATGGCGATTTTCCTTGCAAAAAGGCTTTCAGTAAAAGCTTGTAACGACACTGTATCAACATGGATGTAAAATATTTATAGAAAGTATGCCACTCTGCCAATCAATCTGTTTGAGTTCACCTGGAAAAAAGTTCACTTTTCTTTATTCGTCTTTGGAGGTCTGCTTGGTTCTGTAGAGGCAGACACTAAATCTTCTAGACTTGGAGTGTATGTGTGTGTTTAAGGTTATAGAGGGTGTGTGTCTGCTTGTGAATCTTCACGTTCCCTCTCCACTGCTGGAGGTCTGTGCGCTTGCTGAATGTGGCTGTGGAGGAGTCGCCTCAAGCTCAGACTCTCGAACGAAGATCACAGCATCTCCACTCACATTGATAAGGCACTGAGCCTGGAAAACACATTACAAAACAAGTAACAATGTAGGTACGACTGTGTGAGAGTATGTGAGCAAATGTATAGATTTACACACACTGACCTGGTTCTTGTTTGGATTCTCCATAAACACACACTCTTTCATGCTGTAGGACACAACAGCATTTCCACCAAGAGCAGCTACATGGGCTCGTACCATAGCGAAGACCTCAGCGATAAACGAATGCAGGAACCCACTCACACCACCCTCCTAAAGCACACACATAGTTAAGAAGCTTGAAAGATGCTTGAAAGCTTAAGGGTGGCTTTACATGGAGAAACTTCCATGCAACTTTCACAGTTACACAAAGCTATGTTTGATGTCATGGCTCAGGAAAATTTACATTATACAAAGACAAAACTGACATTATGCATCTCAAGTGCAGTTTAATTTCATGTAGGTTTGAAGCAACTAAGTTGCATCTAAGTTTTACTAAGTAAAGCCAACCTTAGAATCATACTCATTTCAAGGAATACTTCAGAAGAAAGAAAAAGTAAATAATTTTCTATTTATTCCAGTTGACTATCTAAAAGTTGCTTCTTTAGTTTTGGACTGGAGCCATTAAGCTAACCAACACTATAAGTCAACAGTCACCCAAATTTTTTTTCTGTAAATACATTACTAAAACTTCTCTCAACCTGCTCAGACAGCATCCAGGTTTTCATTAAAGTCATACAGACTTGTCAATGTGGTTTAAGCACAGTATGACTTACTGTGCACTATAAAACCTAACAAAACTTCACAGTGTGCGTAAATGCAGTGGCAACCATTTCAGATAGTGTTCTGCCAAATTCTGATTCCCCTGTACAGTCCGACTCCCTTCATGTTGATGCACATCACACAGGCATAAGAATACTAGATCACGACTGTGTACGCATTTTACAGAAAAAAGATTTGGGTGTCCATTGACTCCTAATGTTTGTTGGCAATGTTAGCTCGGGCATTAAATAAAAAAAGCAAAATTTGGACACCAAACGTGACTTAACTGATCCACTACATCTAGAGTAAGTAGAAAATTATATACTTTTGATTTTTTCATGTACTACTCCCATTCCCTGCTACTACTGTTTGTAGCTATGTAGTATACTTTCGTCCATCTTTATAGGTAGCATGATGTCACACAGTATCAGAAACCACATGAGCAAGGCGATCTCAGATTATTTAACAACTTGAGGCACTTCTAGGCAAATATGGTGATTTAATATGTAGTTAGGTGATGTAGTTTGCATGCTGCTACCTGGTCAGGTATAAGATTCAATTACTTGCTAGCTTTATTAGCCTTATAGCTTTAGTGTAAAGATAAAGAAGCAAACTTAGGACACCAAACATATCTTAGCTCAGGAGTGTCCAATCATATCTAAAGCCCTGGTGCGGCAGTTTTAATTCCAACAAAGCAGGAGCACACACGATCGACTGTTTGAAGACTAAGACAAACTGATTTAACGAGTAGAATCAGGTGTGCGCCTGCTTGTTTGGTATGAAGCGCTGCAGCCACACTGTTTTTTGTTTCCTTTAAAAGAGTATCCATACATTTGTGGGTGTGTTACCTCTCGTAGTGAAGTGGTCTCCCTGATGAAGAACATGTTTATGATGCCGAGGTACTTATTTATTTTTGTTCCGGGAATAAAAGAGAGTGGAGTCATCTTGACCACCGTGACTGAGCTACCGGCGTAGGAGCGATTTGACCTGAGAGAACGAGAACGACCCTCCGGCAACGGACTTGCCTTCTCTAGAGATGACACTGAGAGAGAAAAAAGAGAGAGAGCGAAAGAGAGAGAAAGAGAGACAGAGAGAGATAGGAGGAAGAGGAGGAGAGACAGTGGACATGGCTTTCAGAGGGCACCCTATTTAAGGGCAAACATTTGACTGGATAAACACAGGATGGAGGCAGCAGGGAGAGAGGACATGCATGCGTCTGTGTGTGTGAGCGTTCGTGTGCAGCGTAAAGGGCTTTACGTGATTAGAAAGCTCAGCGATGTGAAAATGCTACAAAAAAATATAGGCTACCATGCATCGCATGCACACACACTGACACAGAGTGTGTAAGAGAGAGAAACAGTGAGTAAGCGATTGTGTTCATGAAGAATCCGCTGCTGTGGTAAATCAGATTGCAGTGAAAAGAGACATTTCCACTGAGCATAAGATGTCTTACACCACTAGGGCTGGGCGATACGGCAAAAAAAAAAAAAAAAATTCCATGTCATTCAATATTGAAAATTAAATGTATTTTCTGCTAATTTTTAAGCCTGAATAGTATTTTTGTCTTTTTGTTTTTGGCCACAAACTCCTCCCGTTCCAAAATGTTTTCATCAAAATGACAACTTTATTTTACTCTCTATACATTCAACATTGAAAATACCTAGCTAGCTCACCTATATTACAGGTTTGAAGTGAATAGCTACAAGCAAGTCAAAGGCAAACATTGCCACCTATGGCATTTCCTCTTCAGGCAGTACTGTCTAAAACCATCAACACTCTAGTATAGTACTTGTGTCCATTTTCCACTGCACAACAGAACCGTGAAAGTAGGTTCCCTTTAGTTCTCTTTAGCTTGTGTTGTCACATGACTTCTCACACAAATCTAGCCCTAACAGTAAACACAAACAACAGCAGCAACAATAGAAGGGCTTCAAGCTTCAAACTGTCTCCCCAATTGAGTCATGTCTAGTTCCACCTGCTAGCTAGATTTCCCCCATCACACAATACCACCAGCCTAAACCGCTGCATCCCTTTCAACTGTTGTTAACGCAACTGCTTTGGATCGCTCAACATGCTTGGAAGAGAATGCTATGCTACAGTTCATTTGGCAATGGAAACAGAACAACATAGAACAGCATAGTCATTTTATCAAAAAGACCTTAAACGCTCACTATCAATATGGAGAAAAACATTTGATTTTGATAACTGTCGTTTTATCGCCCAGGCCTGCGTGTAGAACTACCACTCAGCATACATAACACAGCCCTGACCTAAAGCCTTTATGACGCATCATAACCATTACACTGCACAGAGGCTAACAGAATGCATGCAACTATGAGAACTATGAGAGATGTCAGAGTTAAATATCACAGGTCATTTAGCTCTTTGTTAAGTCATGCTTATAACGCACTGATGCAGGCTTCATGACAGAGAGCATTCTGTGAGGTGCTGCGGTACTTACACATCATTCAGGCCAATTCAAAAATAATTCAAAAACCCGACCACTCCATCAATTCACACTCTTCATGTTAGAATATTGTCTTCACTAGGGGGCAGGCCTCAGCTTTCACACTCTGTCAATCAGTTTGGCGTGATCTGTTTATGCCAGCATAAGTGTGTGTTTGTGTGAGTCTGTGTAAATGAATGCGCTCCTACTTGTTTTAATTGATCCGCGTCTTATGGTATGAGCTTTCAGTCTAAGCTGCTCTATCCAGGAGCTGCATCTGTCTGTAAAGGAACTGTAATCAACTGAGGGGGCTGGGCACACGCATAAACACACACACACGCACACGCACACACACACACACACGCGCACACACAGACACAAAAAGACAGACGGAAACACACAAACACAGACATGCGCATGCCACCACATCAAATCACACAGACAAGAGACAGACACGCAACAGAGGGATACACAGAAGAGGAAACAGGACATAGAACAAAAAAGGAAAAAAAGAAGAACAGAAAAGAGGGGTAAAATGGATGATGCTGGAGTGTGTGTTGCAGCATCTGTCAGACACAAAAGGAGCAGAAATCAAACCGAAAAAATAATCCTGCCACCGTGAAAACACCCAGCGAACAAAGCAAGGACTCACCTCGAGCACTTGGCAGGGGGCCTGAAACCTCAGACAAACCTAAGACACACAGACACAAATAATTTCGCATCACTCTGACCACTAAGGCAAGTTGATATGAACGTGATTGCCAAGTAGGTTAGAAAGCTTATTACTGCAAGCCTTGGTAGCACTTAAGAGGGTCTCAGGCATCTATAGCCCTTTTCATATCTGCACTTTTATGGGTATTTGTCCAGTAATTAAGCAGTAAATGGTTAAATGAGAATGCAAGCTAGAGTGCAGATCCCAGGAAAGTTGACTCGCACAATACCTGGGTATTTAGGGCTCATAAAGAGGGCTTATGTATGAAGAAAAACAGTCACGTCTACACTCAAAAAAAGGGTGAAAACTTCACAGGAGTGTCTTTTGTACAAGATTCTAGAGAGAAGTGGCAAAACCTCCCCTATCTGTGTGGTGTGACCGCTACTGTGCAAAAATGTCGCAATATGGCCAGGAAAGCAAAACATTTGTATAATACATCTGTTTTTACAGTCTCAGGTTTTTGAGAGTGTTTTTGTACATGATACAGAAATGAATGAGCTGTTGGCCATTCATGCTGTCACATCCTATTTAAAGGGAAATTCCACTGATTATTCAACATTTCTACATAACTAAATCATTAAGATGTTAACAAAGCCCTTCACAGTGGTTTGATGTGAAATGTGCCAATCTAGATTGACTTAGCGAGTCAGAAGTGCTCAGAAGACACTGGTGGTTTTCTATAGTAAAATAAACAGCTATATTTACACATCACAACCCCTGGTTCCTATCACCACCACTGAAAAGAATTCCAAGTCAGTAAGTTTCCCTGCAATAAGCCATTTCACATCAAACCAACCACTTTCAACCACTGAATTATGCAACAATTTTGCAAAATCAGTGGAAATCCCCCTTAATAGCTGCAAGGGTGAATGATCAAAAGCTGGAACATTGCCAGTAAAAAGAACATGGTACTGTCCTGGGTTTTGATTGTAAAAAGGGCTAAAAGGGCAAAAGGGAGCAGTGAGAGTTTACCTTTAGCAGAGCTGAGAGGGTTGGAGGAGGATTCAGCAGAGAGCTCTAGAGGGAACTGAAGCTGATCTTCATTTTCTGTAATCGCTGGAGAAGACATGCATGGTTAAGGGTTCAGATTAGCTTAGGTCAACAGATCAAATCAGGGAAAAACTAAGCAACATGCTATGGATGGAGTTATTTAATAACAATGTAATACACACACACAAAAACATGCCCAAATGAACAGTCAGTTCATTAAGATTGAATAAGAGGGATCAATTAACAATTTGCCATTTGACTGCTCTTGTTGTAAACCTGTGATAACCCTGTTTCACACGGCAAAGTGACTTCTACTGCTGTTGGGCTCAGACACTCATATGGAATTAGCCTACTAATGGGGTCCATGACGTGGACACATGAGAGCTATAAATTCCTCACAGTCAGCATGTTCATCCTAAATAATAGGTTAAATAACAGTATTCTGTTTCATGTTTACTCTTGTCAGAACTGTCATACACACATGCAGGTGTACACACACTCACCTTTCATAAGATTCTTGTCTATGCTTTGTCTGCCATTCTCCTGTGTCTGATCTTTATCAAAGCTCATAGCAACAGCTGTCACCGCCACCTGTCAATCAAGCAGAACACAAAATCACTAGCAGGGTCTAAAAAGATAGTGGTCGGCATTGTAAAGCAAAGGATCAAAATAATCCATAATAATCCAGCACAGAAAACCCCCAAGTCAGACCACATCTTTACTCTTGTCCAGCTCCTAACACTCCTGAGCCAGATAAGTGTTAATCTATTGGATCATAAGGAAAGCCAAATACTGCATTTACCAACTTTTTTCTTTTTTGAAGTCACTTCTTACCTGTATAAGCTCATCTTCAGGCACAGCGACAGTAAAGTTCACATGGCAGAGGCAGCAGGGCACCATGGAGCGCAGCTTGAAGTACAGACTCTAAACAACACACACACACATACAAGTGTCTCTTTCGAACAATCAAAGTCCTTTGATTGCACAGCAACAGGAAAATAAGTCGGCAAAGAGTGAGCTCACCTTAAGCAGATTCTCACAGAGGTCATTGAAGACCTTATTCAGGCCCTGATTAGTCAGATTTACATTGCTGAGACGAAAGACCCTCACAGATGTAAACATCTACAGAAGTGAAAAAAACATGAAAACGTACAGTTTCACACTACTTTAGATGAGACATTGTATGGTGTTCGTCCAGTTACTGGTATTAAATCAATACACAGATGCCTCTTACACTGTGTAACTGAATACATCAAAGTCTTTGTCCACTGAGAGGTCAAGAGAACTATTACATGCTTTTTAAAGAGGTGTTGTGACCACATTTATTAATCTTGTCTTGAGAGGTGAAAAAAATATGGAGAAGGTATACAACAAAGTGAAGAGTACCTGTAAGGCTGAAGTCCAGTTATAAATCCCAGGCATGATTTCAGTGTTGCAGCTGTAAAACCCTGTGGGTGCGACACATATAAATAAATGTAAGGAGGAGAGGAGAGGAGAGGAGAGGAGCGGAGAGGAGAGGAGCGGAGAGGAGAGGAGCGGAGAGGAATTACCTGGAGGTGTTGGGGCATCAGTAAGGAGGGAGTGAATGTCCTCAACAGCATCTGTGTCATCAATCTGGAAATGCACCAAAATCCATTACACAAGCCTTATTGAATAAAATACATCTATCCTGAACAAATACAGTTATTCTGCATACATCTATCTAAACTCTATGAATAAACTAATTTTGTCCATTTTGCATGCATCTGTCATACCTCCAGAACAAAGGCATCTTTTTTTCCATGAGACAGGTCTAACTCTGACACTTCATCTGAGCTCTCTGAGTGGGAGCGAAAGAGGCGGGAACGCTGCCGGGGTTCAGGGATCGGAGAGCCAATCACCTCTTCAACCAAGTCCTGTATAAGGAACACACAGGCACTGACTAATCAGAGGGCGGTTCAGTGTCATGCCAGATAAAAGTTATAGATCATCAGAATAGTCTGATGGCTCAAAGGCTGAAAGATTCACTTTGGAGCTACTGCTGTGGAGACTGAACAGGAGAGTTAGGATTAGGAATTTGGTGATAAGTAAGTCTGTAATAAAATTGCCAATCCAAGCACTGTATACATCAAAAATCACAGTTACAAGTGTATACTGTAGCAGTTTTATATTCATTTTCTTTAAAGCTACCCAATGATGTTTTGTCCAGTTACTCTTTGTTAGGAACCAACTCAGAACCAAATGAATCTCAAGAATTTTGATGCAAAAACACCAAGGAAATATACAAGTGCTGATTTAAGGTCATTCGCACCAGTATGGTCTTCATTGTTCTCTACACTTAACGACAAAAAAATATTGGGCCGCTTTAAAGACGCTTTGCTACTTTAAAACAAATAAATAAATAAAAATACAACTAGTAAACCACAGCAGCCCTGCAGTAGGTCAGCATGATTAGTTGTGAAACACCTGTTATTCTTAAAGAAAAAGGGTGGTGCATCCATGTGTTTGTTACTGAGTGCATATGGTCACCTTAGAGAGTGAGTGTAAACATAAGACTGCATGCTTTTATTACAACAACCAGTGGTATGTGTGTTTACAAATATAGTTGTGTGTACTAGAGGTCCATTTCTTACCCCGAACCCGGCAGGGCCCGACAAAATGTCTCTGCAAGGTATGGTCAGCATTTCCACAAAAATATACTGATAATAAAGACCATTAATGTATTACAGATGTGTAAAATGCCCATTAATCCCAGCACAACATATTTTGTCAATTAACTTGCAAAGCACTACAAAGTTGTGTCTATGATAAACTGTGTGTTCAGGCTGAGTTCGTGTTTCAAATTCAGCAGTATCAGTCAGGCCTGGTCGGGTCGGGTCAGGGCAGGTTGTGGGTATGTGTTGGGCTCGGGCTTCAATTTCGTGCAGACCTCTGGTCTGTATTTTATTGAACTGCCATGCATTAGAATGTACCGTATTGATGCATCTGAAAGCTTCTGGGTCCAGAGTGAATAGTTTCTTTATCAGTTCAGAGAGAAACACAGTATTGGCCAGTTAACATCCAAAACCCATTCTGCAAAAAGCTCAGTGGCAGCAGCCCAAAACACAATACTACCCAATCTAAAAACAAAAGTTACAACCTCAAGTCACTGTCAGAGTGTATATGCACTTACCGGAGGGTTGACCTCATAGAGCTCTTTGTTTTTGGCAATGGTGTCATTGATTTTCTTCTGCATGTTTGAGATGTGTTGTTCATATGTGATGTCACTGGGGGTCTTTCCTGCTATCTGGATCCCTCCTGGACTAGGCAACGCTGTTAGATAAACCCCTGTGGCTGACTACAACACACACACACACACGCGCGCGCGTGCGCGTCTTAGAACCTACTGAATATCTCAGGACATAATTACAGCTTTAGGAAACAGTATACTGTATAATAATGTAGCTGTTGGAACAAAACATCTCCAAAATGGACACAAAAATGTTATTATTAATTAATTTTAATATCATTATTAATTAATTCTGGGTAATTCTGGGTAATTAAGTAATACTGGAGCATTTCTATTGGTCTATTCATAATGAAATTTCCATGTAGAGTAAATGGGCAGCTGGAGGTTTCAAATTACATAATAAGGTTTTGTCCCAACAGCACTGATAAGTTGCATATGAAATGAGTGAAGGGAGAAATAAGCTTTATTGGGACCACAGGTGCACTACTCACAGCCAGGCCTAGCAGCATGTTCTCTCCCACGCTGATCTGGATGCGCAAGCCAAACAATGCGTTCATGCTGCGCAGCTTCAGCTTGTTCATCAGCTGCGTGTGCAGCTCATACTCCAGAAAGGGCAACAAGTTACTAATGGCTGTGGCATTGCCCTCCCCCTGAGCCTTCTTTTTAGTCCGACACAACCTTAAAAAGAAGAAAGAGAGAAAGAGATTTAAATGGCCTACGTTCTTCTCCTCACCGATAAAAGTTTATATAGGTTTAATGCACCAAAAGTAATCATTATCAATTTTATATGACCATAATCTAACCTCTCTTTAGTATTACTACTTCTCCACTAGTATTACTATTTAGAGGGAATTAGTTACTAGAGGGAATATGAGGAGGCGGGGTAATGTCATTATATACAACTTATATGTAGTATATCAAACAATTATGGCAAAAAAATAAATATAAAAAAGATACAAGCCCTTTAACTCTTTATGGCCAATAAAAATGTGGCAATTTCTGCCATTTTATGTAATATAATGCAATTGCTGAATGCTTCTGTTGCACTTTCTGAACTGTACATAACGTGACAGAGCATGGCTTTTAACAAAACAAATATCTTAAGATATTTAAGAAGTGGAACAGTATACATATCATGACTTTTAGGTTAGATAGTTATTATATCCATATTGTTAGTTGGTATCAGTATTGGAAGGGAAAGTGGTGTGGGTACATCTCTAAAATTTAGAATGAGAATGACACACCTGGCCTGTATAAGGCAACCCTTGCCAGTGACATTGGCTTCAGTAGGCAGGTCTATAGTAGTGAAGAGCACATCAGGGACTTTATAGCGCCGACAACAGTGGCAGTACGTGAGCTGAGCGGGAAATGGCATATTCAACTCATCATATGGGATGTGACAAAACCCACAACCAGGGGGCGTCAGGTCTTCAAACCTAATACAAAGACACAGAGAACAATAAATACACCACCGCTCAATATAACACATTGGGAAATGCACAGCATGCTCAGTAAGGACTCACTCTCTCTCATACACATGCTTACTGGGAAAAAGATATTTAATATGTACAACTGAACCACGGCTATGCTCAAGACTAAAATTAAATGTAAAAATTAGGTTTGTATCACGTCCCCCCACCCACCCACACACACAGACAGACATCTTTCTTCTCCAAATATTTAAACGTGTTAGTCTCTGTGAAAACCTGTGAATCCTCTATAAATCTCCAACCACACACAGCAGCCTCATTAGTAAAGTTTAGTGAGGTTTTAGTCCTTCAGTACAGGGCATGTGATTAACCTACCCTAATGAGGCTGTACTACCCATATCACCCTCGCCCTTCTCTGCCCCTGAGGTAAAGACAGGCGCTTGTTGCCGTGACAACCTGTGTTCTGTGTCCAGGGCTCCATCCTGCATGAAGCGGGAGCTGAGGACAGCAGCAGTGCCCGACGCTGATAGAATACACACTTCCTCACTGCAAAATACACAGACATGTGCCTTTTCCATAAGTGTGAATAAAAATTAATTTGCGAGCAAAGCAGCGTGTGAATGTGTACACTGCTGTTAAAGTCTGGGGACACTTTGCTTTCTTTTGAAATTTTCTTAGTAATGACTTACTGACTGGTCTGAGGCCAGAAACATACTCAACACATGTACACAAACACAAATAAAAGCAGCCACAAATGCACTGCAAATCTATCTTGCTGTGCACACCTAACGTTCTTTATTACATTACTGTGGCAAGTAAAAAACTCAGACAGAATGCAGTGTTCTGCAAAACAGTGTTCACATAGCTAAAAACGTTTGCTTTTGTGTACATGCATGAAATATGTTTCTGGCCTTACTTTTCAATTAAGAAAGAAAGGTGGTTTAACCAACAAACACAATGAAAACACTATAAATTGTGTTAATTAAGAAAGATAAAAATACCTAAGGTTTTGTTAACATAAAACAGCTAGTTGCTTACACAACACTCAGCTTTATGATCATCAAAGTGCCATCCTTAGTTTTGCCCAAATAACGTTTTTGATACTTTTTATTTCCAAACTATTGCTAAAAGTTTTGATTTATACATTCCAAAGATGCGAAGAAACACATTTGCTGTATTGTTATGTCAGACAGATGGATGATGGATGGATATCAGTTTAACTGACTAGACAAGCAAGTTCATAACCCAGGGCAAGTGAAGTAATTTTGATAGACAATTTAGAATTGACAACTCAGTGAGTTATTTCAGTGTTTTATGCTAAACATATATATTTATGGCTGTTAAAATCTCATAGGAATCAGATAAGTTAGTCTTTTATCTCTGTCTCCATCTCTCAGTTCTACAGAGAATGTTCAACAGTCAAAAACAGTCAAACAAATTAATGCGTAATTTGGCTATTTCTCTTTTTTTAAAAATGCTGTTTCCAATTTTAATGTTTCACTAATTTATCTTCCTCCTTTTTCACAGAAACAGGGTGAACTGCAAAATCATGGGGGAGAGCATTCAGCCTTCAGCTAATGATACTTGGGTGTGACAATTTTTTTACAGCGTAATATCTATTATTAATGAACTGCCATTTTCCTCCAGGCTTTATGATACAATGTTTTGTTTAAGTAACTGCACACCAACATAATGACCGAATACTGCAGTATTAGAAGTATTTATTTCAGCCCTGCACAACAGCTAAACATGACAAGAGTCAAGCAGTGTATGCCGCAGTATGAACCAACTGGAATGGTGTGTGAGCCATTTTACTGACAAAGAAAACATGCTCATTTATTGAAAAAGCTTGTGTCCCCAAACTTTTGACAGTCAACATGAATGTGTGAAAAGTACCAGATGCTGGTGGACTCGCTGTAGCCCACCACAGCGTGACAGCCCAGAGCTTTAGCATGAGACTTTATCTCCTGACGGATCTCCTCCCACCAAGCGTCTCGCGTCTCAGGCTCGTCTGAAACACACAGAAAACACAAACTCACACATTTGCACAAAGTCATTATGCACAAAAACTCTCTCACACTCACACACAAATGTCCTCTCTTTTAGAGCAAGGGGTTTTTAAGATGCTCATTAGAGCAAGCACAAATAATCCCCTTCGCCAGTATACAACAGATCAGGAGAAGAATGGAGCTAACGACAGTGAGGATGATGATGATAATGCAAGTGTGATTATTATGTTGCCATTCTTCTGATGGCTCAAGCTCAGGGATGGGCAAAACAAAAGGATCAAACACTCTCACCTAATTACAAATCAGAACATTCATTTGGATTTGCAGACGTGATCTCACAGGAATTCTTAATGAGGGCAAACTCTTTTCTGGTTGAGCCAATAGCAGAGGGAAGGAATAACGGGTGAGTAAATAAGTAGAGAAGTGACCAGAACTGAAAAGTGGAGAACTGAAATGAATTAAGGGTAAATGAAAAGAGGAGAACTAACAGGCCAGTCACTTAGAATTCTAAACAACAACACTAGTTTTGTGCGTCTAACAATGTTACATGTATTGGTACGTGCTATAAATGCCTTCACTGAGAATCTAAGAGTTCGATTCAAGGCTGTTGCCATTATTATTTATCTGTCTTTCTTTGGTCAATATGCACTACATGCCTACAGCAGAACCTGGGAGTTTGTATGACCTAAACTACTTCTCAGTAAAACCTCTCTCAGACTGTGAGCTCCTCTGGCTGAGATATTAAAGGAATTCAGTGTTTTGCTTGCTGCTAGTCACAGCTTGCCAGTGTCTCCCCAGCTACTGAAAAAAAAGTAGATTTGAAAACTGACTTGCATCCTCACGTACAATACTAACTCACAACTGCTGCCCTCTTATACTTAAGTTCGTCTGATGCAATGTTTTGTTTCCAAATGATTTAACTGCATTAACTCAAATTTAATGAAAACATGGTTTGACAAAACTGAAAATGTAGGGAGTTCTTTCCTCCACCTGACAAGTTGCTACTATGAGCAACAGCACAGATCTCACATCTTAGCAATGTCTTATTATAACCCTGAGGTAAATTTTTTTCTTTATAAGTTACTTATGACCTAATTTTCGGAAGCCTCATGCCCGAAACTTGTTCAGGAACTGCAACATTCTGCAAGTAACAGTAGCTTTAACTGGCAGAAGGGTCAGATTTTACATAGACATTTTACTCTACGGAGCTTTTGACAATATTAATGCTTTTTCCACTGTCAAAATTAAAAGTGCTTAAAGAACAGTCAGTCTGTTAAATTTATATAGCACAGAAGAGAAGTCAGAGACCACCTTTCCTGTATTTTAGAAAATATTTCTGAGGAGATTAGATGTAAGATAATTAATCCACTTGCATAAGGGTGAAAAAAGTCTGTACTAAAACAGAACTTAAAGCATTCATCTTTGAGAGATGAGACAAAGTCAAGCTCCACTTTTGCTTCAGATTTGAAAAAATCCACAAATATTTCTGTCCATCCTTCCACTGTGAGAACTCAGCGCTATGAATCTGAAAGGATATATAGCTGTCAAGAAGCCCTTACTGAGAAAAGGAACAAACAGACAAAAACAAAGTATCTGCCTGTGTTCTCAGAACAATGGACTGACTTGTTTTGCCTGGAAATTAAATAAATGAAGGGTGGTGCCTGACTTTTATCAGAAATCTTTTACTCAGCGAATTCCAAAGTCAAAAAATGTATATTTAAAAATTAAAACCATAAACCATAAACAACTACAATAAATTCTATTACAGCACATGACCTCAGTGCACACACACATACTGTAGAACTGTATACACGCATCCACTGCAATACATAAAAGCAACAACAACCATGGAGGGCTGGGTCATGGGTACCAGAGACAGGGTTACTGAGAGGTCACAATTATCGCCATATTTACAAGAAAAGCAGGGCGATGTGCATGCCTGCCTCTCTGCACCCTCTCTGGATCATCTGGTCATGTGATAATGAGATCAAGGAGGAAAGGATGCTGGGTAAGGGGTCTGGTGAGGAGCAGCCAAAGCCAATCAGAAACATTCAGCCAGCAGAGAACAGCTACACAGCCAGCTAAAGCATGCTGCAGCCGCCTCACACACACACACACACACATCCAGCACAGCGCATGGCAGCTCATGCAACACACACTACTGAGAAAAACCCAAAAAGTGTGTGAGTTTTTGTGTCTACAGAATTTTTGTGTATATGTGTGTTGATGTGTGAAATACTAATCTCTACCCGCTGCATCTGTGGAATGAAATTGTCCATCAACCATGGACAATTTCAACACATTTCCCCATACTTAGAAAAGAACACAACTTATTGACTCCAAATCCACTTATAATAGAAATCACTGAACAGAATTCTGACAAAAACAAAGATTAATTAAAGCTAGTTGTAAATTATTAGCTTTTTCTTAAAGTTCTTTCAGAAAATGTTTCAGTTTTCCAGAGGCAAGAATTTCTGGTAATACGTTGCCAACGTAGAGGTAATATACTGCCAGCGTGATGGTGCAGGGGCTCCTTTTTTAACATAGAGCGGGGCCTAATCATGAACTGATATCATAAAATGTTAAACAGAATTACAAACTGTGTTGCTCCAACCTTTGAAAGTTGGATAAAACTTCATAGGAATAGCTTTAATACCTTTAATATCACATTCCCTCATGTTTATAACAATCTCAAGTGTGTCACGGTTGTAGTTCTGAATTTATGTTACACAGTCGTGCCGTTTAAATGCTTATTCAAGAAATTCAGCTGTTGTCCAATGGCTTCTATTACGAGTGAGTTTCAGTTCTGTGCTCTTTTCAAAGTACAAGGAAATGGTTCAGTATTGTTGTCTGTGATAAGCGACTGCATAATGCAGATATGGCAGATACAGCTTAGGCTAAAAAAAATGGTGGAGTCTTATTTAAAAAGCAACTAATCACAATTATTTCATTGATTGATGACAGCCAGAATCATTTACACTACCATTCAAACATTTGGAATCACTTATGTTAATGACATTTTATACACAATATTAACTTACGCGACATATGTTACCTATAATGCCTGTATATATATATATATATTACCTGTAATAAACAACAAAAAAATAACCAAACTACATTACTTTATTATTAGTATTATGTGAATGTGTGTGTGTGTGTGTGTGTGTGTGTGTATGTGTCGATATGAGCTTGAAATTGAGCTGCCAAGGGCTGTGTGTGTGTAAATGCAGGACTGGGAGTAGGGTAGTACCTGCGGTGAAACTATTCCAGTCTAGCAGTTTGTATGATCTGGTGTTACCCAAGGCTGATTCAAAACGCCACATTAGTAGATCAGTTAAAGGAGCAGAGAGAAAGAGAGTAGAAAAGAGGAAAAGAAGAAAAAAGAAACACAAACTACAAACAAGAGCACAACACTGGACAACACCACTCCACAGGAACTGCAAAGACAGACAAGAGAGTTATCGTCAGAAGAGAGAGAGAGAGAGAGAGAGAGAGAGAGAGAGAGAGAAAGTTTGACTGAGATAGTGCAGAGACTAGGGAAAGAAAAGGCAGAGAGGAGACAGAGGATGAAGTAGAGATGAAGAAAGGGAAAAAGGAGGTATATGTAGAGAGAGAAGAGAGAGAAGAAAAAGAGAAAAGCATGCAGCAGCACTATGTCACTAGGTCAGTGGCTCTATATCAGCACATCTACAGTAAAGATTATACAAGCAGCTCCTAGAACCAAACCATGCTTCACATTCAGCTAACACTTACACCCTTCCTCTCTCACTCACACTCTCTCTCACACACACACACACACTCTCTCTCTCTACGATAAGTGGAGTGGAAGATTTTTTTTCGTAGTCAAGAGTGGGATTATAAACTTTAACCCCTTGAAGTGTAAGTTATTTAAACTTTTTATTCTGTAAAAGACAAAAAACTCAAAATGTGCTGTAGTTGTAAGGGTGAGGAACTGAAATGTGGGCCCACATATCTGTCCATACAGTTTTAAAAGGTTTTAAACAGGTATGTGGCTTTTACATACTGTATAGAAATACACACTATGCAAGTCTGGGTGTGTGCGCACTTGCACACAATTTCAGCATGTGTGTTCAATTCTGTAAATCAGTTGAACGTACCTCGACTCTAGAGCCCCAAAACATTCTCATACGGGTCAGATCACAATTTAGCTCTTAAAATCCTAAAGCTCAGAAAATCTGAACATCTTAAACATGAAAGAAACCTACATCATCACTTCAGGTGAAATGGGGATATTCAGGTATTAAGCCAGCTTGTTAGAGTTTGTATAGTACGTGCATCATTGCTGAGCACTATTTCATAGAGGAAAGTAATTGCTGGCACAGAAAGGGGTGGCACAGCATCAGCAGTGACAAGACAGTGATATGCAGGGTAGGAAAGATGAAAATTACGCACAAGCACAAGGTGATAAATAAGAGAATGTGTAACCTCAGAAAAGGCTTTTGGAAGCATGATGGTAGCCTTTACTAACACATGACATACATTCCAGTGTTGGGACAGTCGGTGTGGAGTGTTCTGCAGTGTTGGGAATACTCCACATTAAAAATGAAAAAACAAACGTGTGCAACGTGCATCATTCCAGTACTTTCAGGAAATAGGAAAGACAGGGAATAGGGATTAGTAGAGGCACCATGTGCAACACAGAGGCAAAAATAAGTAATAGAAAATATGAGAACTGCAAAACAGGTGTAGTTATTTGGTTGTCAGGCAGACGGGGCATGCAGCAATAGATCATGTGATGCAGAACAGATTCCACATTTCACCTCTAGCCCTAAAGCTCAAAGAAGCACAATTACTATGAATTGTCAGGTGGTTTTCTCCTCATAAAAATCACTGAACTGCTCAATTTGCCTTCAGAAAAGAGGTCATCCTATTGCCTGAACCTCATCACATATGCACTACAGAAATATTCCATTTAACCACAAAAAAACAGAAGCACAGAGAACTAAGACTACATGCATAGTTAGCAAATATAGTTACTGCTTACGTTACTCCACATACAATGAAGTTTTGTCAGACTGAGGTTAATTAGGTGTGCAGCGTTCAACCATCAAATTGAACTACCTGGCATTTCCAACTGGCAGACACATCCATGGATATCATCTTGTCATCACCAAAAGATTTCTTGTTGGCTTATTACAACTTTTACTATTTTTATTTTTACAATTTTCACTAAGTTGTTAGTTGTGGGGGCTGCATTAGTCTCATGTCTTAGATTATTATAGGTTGTTATAGTGTTGTGAACTGTTTATCTGTTTTGTGTTGCGGGGTGTCTTACCGGGGTTGTGGATTCGATCCAGAAGCTTGACCGATCGTGCACTGACCACCCCACCCACATGAAGCAGAAAACCAGGAGGGAAACTGGTCAAGGTGAAGAAGGGAAACTCCTGAAACACATACCCACACCTTATTTTTTATAGGCTTTATACTGACCATTATATCTTATTTACTTATGAGAGGTGCACAACTCAAAACATGCCAAAGTAGCTTTAGCATTCTGCAAATACAACACAAATGATTTTCCAGGAAAGAAGCTCTCTGGTAACTGCAATGTCCTCTATAAGTACAGGGATAGAGTCAATTAAGAGTCATATTAAATACATAAAAATGTAATAGTACTAGTTTATTAACAGCAAATATGCTAATGATTTTTAAAGCTTGGTTTTAATTGATTAAAAGTTTACACTTGTATGCAGCAGAAATAACTGTCTTTACTGTCCCAGTACATATAATAGGCACTGCATTATATTAAGAGCACTCCATAAGGATTTAATAAATCTATACAACGTAATGTGCATAATGTTATCCAGAGATCTGCAAACAGCACAGATACCCTCAACATGACTATTTAACCATTTGTGAATACTTTACACAATAAAGAGGTATGAGTACATAATGCATAAGAAGCCCTGAGTAAGTGCTCTTAACTGTTACCAGCTTCCCTTTCTCAGGGTCATACAGTACTGTGCCATCAAAGACCACACTTCATTTACTAAATTTCTAGTCAAAATGCTGTTATGTACAAGTTATTTACGTTTCAGTAGTGATCCAACTCGTAATACGAAGAGGATACAGTGGTTTGCATGGGATGGTCGTTTTAGGGGTCTTTTTGCTGCTCTCCATGTATGCACATGGAAGGGCAGGGAGGTCCTAGAACAGAGCCATATCACCACATATAACTACTGCAAATAGAAATTACATAATTTCTTTGACCAAGCAGTCCCAACTGAAATTGAGCATAGCGCTGGTTCGGGCAAGCCACAAAGTCAAGCTGAGGCCAATCTCAAATCAGCAGCTGTTCAGATCTGATCTCAATCAGCTGACGGCTGATGGCCTCTATGCATAGAACTGATTAGCTTCAATAGGGTGCTATTTAAGCTGCTTTAGCTTTCCCGTTCTCGCCGCTTTCTCTGCAAGCCTTTTCGTAGTCTCTGGCTAGCCGGAGGTTTGCCTGGTGTGGTTGGTTTGGGGGTCTTTTTGCTGCTCTCCCTGCCTTAGGCTTTCCAAGTAAGCACATGGCAGGGAGGTCCCAGAACAGAGCCATACTGCCATGTATAACTTACTTCAAATGGAAACATTTTTTTTCCTCGACAAAGTTTTGTCTGTTTTGACTGGAAATTAAATAAATGAATGGTGGCCTCAGACACAGTACTAAATCAGAGTCAGGAAAGAACACACATAGGGGTTCTGCTCATTTACATACAACAAGTCATATTTAAAGTCATGTTAAACAAGACTCCTGTGTTACTATACAGACAGAAATAAAGGTCTAAACTCCTTTGCATTGGAGTACGTCTTGGAGGAAAAGTACGTGAAGAGGATGAGCAAAGCCTTCAGCTGAACTATTAACTGAATGGCCTTAGTCACTGGGTCCACTGGGATGGGCAAGATGTTGTTTCATAACATCATAAGCAGTGGTGATAAAGTCATGCAGGTCATCATGTAATATTGAACAGGAAACAGGGTCATAAATGAAAAAGAGGAGACTCTTCTATGAAACCAGCTTAGAGTCCTCAAAACGGCATTACAAAGGAGTTTTAAGAACACTGAAATGAAAAAAAGATGTTGTCTTTTTTTTTTAAACCCCCAAAACATGCCCTATGCAGACATACCCCCATCCTAACAAACGTCTCAGAGGACGATGACACACCCTGAAGCCCAACGAAAAAATGACAGAATGAAAACACACAGTGGACAAAATAGTAACAGTAAACTTATTACTGCAGTGTTTGCACTGTTTGTCTTTAAGTGTCTGTGTGTTCGTACCCTCTGCTCCAAAGCTGTTTGAGTCTGCTGCCTTAAAAGTGCTTTAAGAGGCCCTGCCTCCTTCCCAGCACTGCCACCACTGCCCATACCTAGGAAGGAAGCAGAGAGAGAGAAAACTCCAGGATACAGAAAAGACATTGAAAGAAATGAACATCACCACTTCACAAACCTTCATGCACAATCATATAGTGCCACATACATCCACACAGTTAGCACAGTATCTCCCTACAACTCCAGAATTACTGTACATTTCAAAGTTTTCTGCAGACTACACTTGAAATTGCCCCATCACGCTACTTGGTGCTAATGTCCGAAATAATGTATACGGTGCAATGACCATGATTCTGATACGAAGAGGTTTGAGAAAAGAAAAAGTTGTCCTTTGTGCACAGAATTACAGAGAACATGAACAAACAGCGGGTTTTGGATGTTTCTCTATAACAGTCATCGTCAACACCCAGTCCAGAGGCCTCAAACTCCCACCTATGTTTGGAGCATCACTATCAAAAGTAAGTGTTAGCGGGCAGATTATGAGACTAAAACGTCAACTTTGAACACATCTCCAGGCCCAAACACTAAGTTTGGCAAATGACAACGTTCTTTAAACCACAGCACATCAGACAATGTCTACACTTCCATTGCCTGAGAGGGTTCTGAATCAAACTAATTAATTAAGTACATGCGAGTGAACTTTTGTTAATTAAAACAAATGCTTTTGAACCACACAGCAAAACCGTTTTATTCTACCCGTATGTGAATGATCACTCAGGCAAGTACGCTGGCTAATGTTTGCAAAAACCTTTGTTAGTTCAATCCTCAAAGAGGAATTCGAATTCCTGTTAAGGGTCAATTTAGGGTTGGCCATACTGCGTGCACTCAGTCGGGAATTAGGGGGGTCACAACGACAGGAGTGGGTGTGTCCTACCGGAGGCTGCCAGTAACAGGTCCTCACTGAAGGACACGCTCTTTCTCAGCATGGCTGTGTCTGACTGGCTCACATGGAGAGGGGGAGGAGTTGTACTCCTGAGGGCCTTAGTAGTGGGAATGGGTGAAGATTTAGATTGAAGGGTAGGAGAACTGGGAGACAGACAAATCCTCGCTGAGGGAAAACGAGAAGAGAAGAGAAGAGTATGGAAAAAAGAGGATAAGGAATGGAGAGATCACATGAGAATGAAGTAATAATGAAGCAGAAATTAATTATGAAATAAAGCAAGATAGAGTAAGAGGGGAAAAAAGACAGACAGCAAGAGAGACAACACTGAAGAGGAAGGCTTGGAGGTATTAAACATGAGGAATGTATTTCAGTTTTTAGAATGGAATTCATGGCTGGTAGATGCCACAATACCTGTGACGACATTAAAAAATAATGCTTCTGTCTTATGTGCCTAGAAAATACAACTAATTAATGTTACACCATCAAAACAGCTCATCACTATACAATATACCATGACTTTCCTCCTACTTAATCATGGCTTACCCCTTTTTTATATCACTTTCTCTCATACATACCCACACATACAAACAAAATATGGACCATGGACCAATATGAAAAATAAGTAAAAATAAATATGATTTGATTAAAAATAAACACAAAAGCAAACTCAAACAAATGAAGGGAAAGTGTGGTACCTCCCGCTCTCTGCGATGGTTGGTGCAATGATCAATATGAAGCCTGACACTGACCACAGGGCTGACTGTCCAACTCTGTGAGTGCCTACCAGATGTGTAGAGAGCGTTAGGTAGATCTGGGTGGAGCAGGGATATGAATGGTCTTACCAGTTTTGGGGGTGAGGCTGAGCTCCGTGTCGGAGGAAGAGGACTGGCGGCTGTAGGACTTGGAAGGGGAGAAGGAGGAGAAGGTTTGGGCTCTCAGAGGGGTGGGGGGTCCGGAGGACAACGGGACACCAGGGGCCTCCTCCCCAAAACCCGCCCTGTCAGAGCAAGGAGGAACACACTCAGTCTGACACCCACTACGTACACACAAAGGAAGTGCACGTGTGTGTGTGTGTCTGTGTGTAGATGTATGTGAGGGAGGGAGAAAGATTGAAGGTAAAGGAGAGAAAAGGCTGAAGGGGAGAGGAGAGTGCTGGTCGCTTGCTGCTGGACAGGAAGGCTGTGGGGATGGTGGCAGGAGAGAGCGGACAGGCGAAAAGAAACAAACCAACAAACATGAATCCAACACAAGAGGAGGAAAAGAACAGGCAATACCAAAACAAAAAAATGACAATACAAAGCCATGAGATGAAAAAGCATTTGTTTCAGCTAACCAAAGCACAACGCTCAGCTAACCAAAGCACAACCCTCTGATAACGGCACCAGAAATAATATGAACGCCGACTTCCCCCCTCAACTGATTCAACTAGCCCAAACTGACAAATTTAACATCCCTGTTTACTACCAGAAACCACACGCGCCAGCTAAACCCAGACATCTGACTGGCTACACTGTGTGAGCTTAATGCAGCCCACTGATTGGTCAGAAGCATATTGTGGGGCAGAGCCTTAGCTGCAGAATAGGTTGCTTTGGCAGCTGAAGGGCAGGTCTTGTGATGTCATAGCCATCTCGTCCAATGAAGAGGGGGTGGTGAGAGACCTTTTGCAGGGTCGTGGTGGGATCATGGGGTCGTGGGGGGTACCTGCCTACACTGCCTGGCTCTGGGGCCGTCTGAGCTCCTGTGTCTGTGTTTCATACCGGCGAACAGCAGGGTTGGCACGGAAACGGAGAAGCCCTGAGAGAGACGGCTGCTTGCACTGTGAACCGGACTGCTGTGAGTGGAGCGACATCCAAGAGCAGAAGGAACAGCCTGCGGAGAGCTACACACACACACAAACACACATACACGTGTGTTTCATACATTCATACACGGACACACAAAGGCACACACAAACTTACACACACACACGCGTTTTTTACACTGCACACTTAGATACACAAAGCACATACAAACATGCCATACTGTGCAGAAGTCAGAGACCACATTTCAATTATTTAAGTTCCAGTTAAATAAGCCATGAAGTACAAAATATTAATTTTTCAGGAAATATGTCTGAGAAGATTAGAAATAGAACAAAATAGGAAAAGTCAAAGTGAAAAGAAAAGAAAAAAAAACAGATTTAATGTCCAATGTCCAAAACGGATAGATAGACAGATAGATAGACAGATACATACATAGATAGATAGATACTTTATTGATCCCGAAGGAAATTTAACAGGGGTTCATCAAATGACTAAAATTTATAGAGGTGACTACAAACTAACGGCATCAGTTAAACACTAAAGTTTTCATCTTTTGAGAGATAGGAGAAAAATCAAGCTCAACTCTTGCTTTAGATCTGAAAAAGTTCAAATCTATCCATCCTTCCATTGTGAGAAGACACCACTATTGGTCTGAAAGGGTGTGTAGCTGTGAAGAAGCTGTTAAAAGAAATTAGACAAAAAGAAGAGAATCTGCACTAGAACACTGAAACTGGACACCTGAAATGTGGAGTGAGTTCTTGCAGACAGATGAGTCTAAATTTGGAAACAGAATTACTTGAACTGTGAGACCCAGACAATGCACAGCTTCTAAGCCTGAACTCTGAGGGTGTGGAAAAAAATCCCTGCAAATTTCTTTGAAAGACTCCAAGCAGGTCTCTCAAAAAAAATGGAAGCTGTAATGGCAAGGCAATGTAAAGGCAAAATGTGGACACACTAAAAAACTGAAAAACCGCATGTTTTGTTGATTTTCTAAGTGAAAATAAGCCAACACAAGTGCTACACGCAACTTAAATGTGCAATTTCACCGCTAATTTTAGTGCACAATTTCTATTTATTTGCTGAATTTAACATAGTGAAAAAACTTTGCGCAAACCACATTTTATGTTTTATTTTTTCCCAATACGTAAAATTCAGAAAACACACAGTAACTGTGCATTAAAATGTGCAGAAGCCAAAACTTTATCTTTATCTAGATATATATTTTTTATTTTCTTTTTTCTTGACACTGAAAAATGAACAACTTAATGGCCGTTTTGACTGGAAACTAAATAAATGAAGGTGGTCTCTGACTTTTGCATAGAGCTGAACTGGATAAAACTCACACATACACACATACATACATACATACATATATAAAGATGTGTGGAAATATACACGCACAGACATAGAGTACATACACAACGACAAACCCATCCAAGCAAGCAGACACAGAAAGAGGAAAGTGCAAAACACACAGAAACTTGCAAACAAAAAAAGAAGGAGTAGAACACCTTCCCTCAACTGCTGGGCAGATGAACAAAACACAGTGGCTGGTGTGGTTAAGAACACTAACACTCACGCACTCACATATGCTGCGCAAAACAGACTGTAGACACAGGACCGGCGCAAAAACGCCCAACTCGGCACGCCACAGCTGCAACTTCATCACAGCCCACTAATGCAAACATGCAAGCGCAGGAAAGAAGTTGCGTGCAGGAGATACAGAGAGAGGGCAGACAGAGTCAATGGGAAAGAAAGAAAAGAGAGAGCATGCAGGGGAAGGGAAGGCATGGTTGAAGGTGTGGAGTGTTTGTATGTTGAGAATATATTACAGTAGAACATACTCATAAAACAAACAAACCCTCTCACACAGACAAAACAAGCTACTGCACAAACAATATGAGCGCATTTACTTTCACCTAATGTTTCAGAGGTATCCCTGCTTAACTAATAAGAATGCTCTCCTGAGATGAAAACTGCAAAACAGTTCAGTCCATTAATGAAGCAATTACCTTTGGCTAGTTACCATTCAATCCAAAATATACTTGTACCTAAAATATTGGTTGAACAGGGATAGCTGTATATAGTTCCATCCATAGTCGTGTCTTTCTAAAAACAGCGCAAGATGTGGCACTTTTTTATTAATGTCACCTACATAATTAAACAGAGACCATTTTTGGCCCATGCACAGAGGCAGGGGCACTTAATGCATTTTTGTGCAGAAACACAATCACTCACTCACTCTTTTATATCTTTTGATGGAGACGAGTTACAAGGGTTTATGGCTGTTGAAGGTGTGTATGTGTTGCTGAGTTTATCGAGTGTGCAGGCAGTGCCGATGGCACGAACAACAAGGCCGGATTCCCCTTCCAGGTCAAAACACTGCAGGTAGCCCACCACTGCATTCCCACCCATCTCGAGAACCTTCAGACCAATCTTCCTCTGGAGTTCACCTGCAGAGAGAACCAAACACCATGACTAGTGCTGGATGAAATGTGATCATTTCTGACAAATTTTCACGATCTGATGCAATCTTCCAGCTCGGGAGCTTGGTTAGAAGCGATTAACAGCACAAAAGATCTGGTACCGTGAGAAGAGAAACAAGTCTTTAGCCTTTAGCTCCTGATGTGATCAGAGGCCTTCTAATAATTTCAGACATTTTATTTTTACAACTCAAATCATTCATGAGTAGTAACATGGTCAGTGGTGTAATTCAGGCAACAGCCAATGAACAGCCATATGGCACTTTCTTTACCCCCATGTCTCTTTTCTCAACCCCATGTTCATCCCCAGTTTGTGTTTCTTCTTGGCTCTTGTGTGTGCACTGAATGCCAAATGGAGTCCGGGCCAGTTTAGGCTTGTTTGTATCATGTAATAACAAAGCGATCTGAGATTTGAAGTGCTTTTTCTTAGCCAGAGCTCATTACATCTGTGATACCCTCTCTCTGCCTAATCGTATAGTGTGCGCACCCTCAGCGGGGGTGGCACCACACCTCCAAAAGTGATGGGGCAAAATGTTTTGTTAAAAAAATTAAAATAAAAAAAATGTTAAACAAAAGTAGAGTATCAATGATTTATACTCAAATTATGAAGATAACAGTTCCACTGTTAGATGAAGAATGGGAAATGGCTCTTTCTAGCGCTCATTTCTCTTCCATATGGCTCAAGCCTTGCCGTAGTGCTACATCACCTACATTTCTCTAAAGCTAAACAGCAAAAGACCAACATTACATGTGGGATGCTCTCCATTTTAAAAATCTTTAAGACCATAAAACATCACTTTTCAGCTTAGGAAAAAAAAATCATGCTAAATAAATATTAAAAATACAAAGCAATTATTACCTCAGTAAACATTCATAGAGGTGGCAGATGAGACAGTGTTTTCTACCATTACAGATTTTATTTTCTACTTACTTTAACATAGTACAATGTCTTGTTCCTCTTTTGAAAATTGAGCTGCTTAATTTCTCCTCATATTTTTTCATGTGCATGCACACAGGGACTAATTATAGTTTAAGCATCTAACCCTGGGTTAACAGAGAAAGTCGTTAACCACTTTTGTGTCAAGAGTTAACTGTGGTCACATTCTAAGCTGAAACTGTGAAGCTGGGTTTGGTGTAAAAAGAACAATTCACACATCTGTCATGAGATAGTGGGAGAAAGGTTCTGATTGGCTGTTTTTACCAGCTGGAAAAGCACGGCTGCAATAGTCGTAATTTAAGAAAGAAAACAGATTATTTTAGCTGTCTGGTCACGAGTGCTAGACTATCCCGTCACAAATGCTAAACAAGTGGCCAACAACAGTGCTAAACTATTTAGTTTCTCAACAACGTCAGCTTCATACAAACAGCGAACATGAGCTAGCTCAGTAGGTCAGTGATTGATCACACCACCTTACTGCCGTCACTCCTACCACATCTATGTCAGAGTATATCACAGTATTCAAACACCAGCTAGCAGACAACCGGATTTCTCTATTCTATCGTAGTAGTTTGAGGGGTGAACCGCAATATATCTGACGCCCGCTGTGGAAAAGCATTAACTGCAGTGTTAACCAGACAAACAGAGTCCTCCTTTTAGCTACGTTTAAACTGAAATTGGCGCTTGTGTGTCTTGTTTGATCTACAGTAACATCAAAACACCGTGTTGTGCGAGTGATCAGGCCCAGTACAGTTACGCAACTTATCTCATCGCTCACACTTGGTCACAGGAGAACAGATCGCCGATCGCTCCACTCAAACACTCCACGTTTTAGACGTTGCTAAAGTATATTCTCTCTATTCATGTCAAAAAGCCCTAGAAATACCAGAACATTTTAAATCAAAATCTGTCTTCCTCTGCCAAGAAACTAAAAATGGGTCGTCACTGGATCTTCCAGCAGGACAATGATCCAAAACATATATCCAGAACAACACAAAAATGGTTTAACAAACACAAAGCCAAACTTCTACCATGTTCATCTCAGGCCACTGATCTACACTCCACAGAAAACCAGTGAGGTGAGCTAAAGAGGAGAGTGCACAAAAGAGGACCCAGGGGCCATGGGCAATCAGGAGAGATTCTGTAAAGAGGAATGGTCTCAAATTCCCAGCTCTGTATTCTCCAACCTTACAAGACGTTACAAGAGAAGACTAAGTGCTGTTTAATTGGCAGAGGGAGGCTGTACAATGTATTAAATGCAGGGGTGCCAATAATTGTGGCACATGTAAGGTTTTGTTAAAAATAATTATTACTTGTTGAGGGATCTTTTTTCTCTAAATAAATTTACCTCAAAGTCTGAATATTTCTATTTTTTTAAGTGTGAGATTAATTCATTTTCTTACAACAAATTTCAACTTCTTACAAAACATTTTACTCATCTTCACTTAGGGTGCCAATAATTGTGAAGGGTACCCTGTAAAAATATACATATTATGTAACATATATTCTGTTACTGAATTTTATCAATACCATCCAGCACTAACCGTGACAAAAACACATGCTCACTACAAACAGCCAGAGCCCTCAAGTCAGTTCTGCTGCTCTGGGGGTGTGTCTCTAAAACGCAAACACGTTCAGAGTATGCAGTTGCAGGCTAGTTCTGAGCCCCCAATCGGTGGGAACACCAGCCCTAATATTTTTAAGAAACGAAACGTTTCAACCAATGTAATAATCTCCTGTTGAAAGTTCAAATGTGTCCTGAACTTCTTTAACCTCTGTAACAATCAATGTGTGTTCAAGTAATGAATCTTCTAAGCACTGACTGGCCTGTATGCACTGAGGGAAGATCAGCGATCAGGCACATGTGAGCTTTTATACCTGACATAAGAGAGATGAGTCTTTGCCGGGCCTCGTTGGAAGCTCGTGGGGTTCGGATGCGGTCAATCCACTGGTACTCTGGATCCTCATTTACTACCAGCTCTTCCACAAAGCCATGAACCATCACAGCGCGGTAACATCGTGGGATAGATGTGGCTGGCATGCAGAGATGGGAAGAGAGGGAGAAAGCAAACCGAAAGAGTTAAAGGCATACAGCCTCTGAGAAAGATGAACAGAGCCAGACAGCATCAAGCAGAAAACAGAACAGACAGAAAAAGGGGTCAAAAGAGAGGAAAACGTAAAATATAAGTAAGTGAGAAATATGGTCTGGAGGCTTACTACAGAAGAACTTGACTCCGCAGGAAGACTGTCTGAATCGGTTCAGGTCATTGAAAAGTTCCACCTTAACTAGTACATTGATCTCCCCTCTTATACCTAAAAACACACACACACGATTACTACACAAACACCATATCACCACATACAGAACATGCATATAGTGTTGCAGACTGTTTACTAAAAACATATTACATGTCAAAGCACTTAAACAAAAAGGGAATCAACAATCCCATCAGACAGCCTCAACTTTTAAAAACTAAGCAATTTTGGTTTCAGATGCCTCCTTTAAGAATCATTTATAAATGTTAAGTGACATTAAGAGTTAAAGGATGTTTAAATGTAACAGTAATGGTGTTGTTGAACTCCAGTGATTCTACCCTGATTCAAATGAACCTTCAAAGGAAAAAAAATACACTGCAGATACCCACCATGTATGGTATCATAGATGGGAAACCAGCCAGAGATGACTGTAGCAGCTTCACTGGAAAGTAGCGGGTCAATATCGATGTAAACCTTCCCTATCGCATCATTAGCACTGTATGTATCATGATCCAGAACAGTTATTTGTAATGGCTCATCCTGCAAATCCTCATCATCCACCTACAAAGAGAGAAGGTGGGCGGTGTAAGCTATTTAATTAAGTTTCTGTATAAGCAAAACTCATCAAATAAACAAAACAAAAATATAAAGTTAAACTCACCTCAAACTTAAACCACTCTGAATTCCATTGAGGATTTAGAGACTTGGGATACACATCAGTTTTAAAAGTTGTGTTTCCAAACTTCACCTATCAAACAAAAATACTGTCAGTGTGACTGCAGGTGTCTGTACATAAAGCTGTACATACATTGAAAAGTCTGTAAAGCTGTAAGTATGTTACATATAGGCTATATAAAGCTTCAATGCTGGAAATGTGTTAGAATGTCAAAAGCTACAAACATGCGACTGAAGCTGTATGTGAAGTTGAACATGTATTAGAATGTACGTAAAGCTGTAAATGTGTGAAGCTGTATGCAAAGTTGTGCACATAGGGGGCACAGTTGCAGGGGGATCTGTAGGGGGCCTAGACCTACTCAAATTTCTGACTGCACCTTCAGGTTTCCACCTTAAATAAATAGAACAGACTGATGAAGCTCTCCTTAGATTGCCAACAATTTTCAGTGGATGCTATCAATATTGATGGTACATTGGTCATGTACCATTAATGTTTTACACAAATTCTGTAATAAGAAACAGAATAATGCATTTTATCCCAATGCCAACATGCAAAAAAGAGCAATGGTCTGCTCAAAGTTAGAAGTAATGCTGACAGTAAAGTAAGTAAATGCCTAGTGTCAAATTTTAGGCCTGTAGTTAATCAGTCAGTATCCACTGTGGTATTCTGTCAGCAAGGCAGTTAAACGCAAAGTCAGCAATCTTTTGTATTTTAAATATTAATTTTTATCTTTCTGGCTATGGTAGCTACAATATAATGCAGATGACAATGACTGACATCCTCAATATAGCAATTCCTATTTAACATAATGCTTCATAGGTGGCCCCACAACATGTAACCAGGCTCCACAAAAATAAAATTCTCGCTATGCAACTGGTACATTTTTCACAACTGAAGGTGTAAGTAAAACTGTAAATGCATCATGACTGAAGCTGTATGTAAAGCTGTAAATGCATGACTGAAGCTGTATGTAAAGCTGTAAATGCATGACTGAAGGTGTATGTAAAGCTGTAAATGCATGACTGAAGCTGTGCGTAAAGCTGTAAATGTGCGACTGAAGCTTTATGTAAAGCTGCACAAGTCTGGACTCACCTCTACGAAGGCGTCAGTGAGGTCACTTGCACGGTCCATGACGGGCAGGTGTCTGCCCGCCACAATTTTGGCCTTCAGTTTCCCTGGCATGTTTTTTACCTACACCAGACCTAAAGTCACAAAACAAGAACCAAAACGTCTGAGATGTCGTGGACCTCCAAACATTTCTAACATGCTGCAGATGCTGCAGACAGGTATGGGTCGCATGTTAACGTCAGCTGCATCTGACAGACTGGGTGCATTTGAAACAGGAAGGGAAATCTAAGACCTGCACAAATTCACACAGATTTAGTTAGTTCAGCTTAATTTTAACGTTACCTGACACTTCAAATCACCATTCGAGTTATTTTACATTTACCTATAAGTGAACGTTACATGTGTAGAACGCAAGCGCAGCAACAAAATCTAAGAGTATGTTTTGGTTTTGTTTATGATTCAACAAGCAGATAAACTATGTACAGTAAGGTTGGAAAGGCAGAGGTAACTACGACATAGCAGTAACAGATTAGTAACTCCACTTACAGCGACACATATTTGTTTTGCTTTATTCGTTACATCCCACATAACCTAACTAAGCAGCTATATTTTTTGACAGGCTTGGCTAGGATAACTGTCAGCTAGCTTAACACTAGTTAGTCAGGTGGCTAAGCTAATTAGCTTCCTAGCGTTACAAGCTAAACCTGTGAGAAAACATTGGTTTTGTCATGGACATCGGTTGCATAAGGGTCAGCTAGCTAACTAGCTTAGCTTCTCATTAGCCGTAACAGTTACACTAAGACCTGCTATCTATCTAAGCAACAGTGTTCTTGAGCGAGTCGAGTCGAGCCCCAGCAGCAGTACTGTAGCAGTGGTGTGCCGATTCTGAACAACACCGGTCCTTAACGGAGCCTCCAGAGAACCACACACACTGCGTCGTAGGCTGCACCTTGCGCCATAGCATTCACAATGCTGCAGTCAGCTTCTTATTCAAATTTTCCCGTTCCACCTTAAATGGTGCAGGAGCTACATTCTGGCGCATCAGGCTCAGACGCCAGAAGGTAACTGCTGCACTATTTAAGGTGGAACGGGAACATTTTAATAAGAAGCTTGACGTCAGCTTCGTGTAGCATTCATTATTAGCCAGTTAGCAACACAGCTAACGCGACTCTGACTTTATGCCCGTATTAAGGCAGATTTTTTGCTAACACATGCGCATTGATTAGCATTTAGCTAACGTTACTCACTGGAGCTTGGCGTTTCAGCAAAGCTGCAAAATACCGCAGCGTTTTCAATTTGACGTTACAGTCGGTCCATCGGCCTAGCGTGCCTTTCGATCCCATAACACGAATTAAAACAGTATTCCTGACGTAGAGGATTGGAAAAGCACTGCGCTCCGGTTATTCTGTAAAGATCATGTCGGTAAGTTAGAAAAGTATCAATAAAAACTGCGGTGTGTTCGCTAATAAAGCTCATTGGAGATAAACACACTGCAGTGGCGTTACATGCCAACGGCGACAGGTAGGAGGTTCCATTCAGGGTTGCCAAGTTGCACAAAACTCATCCTGTTAGTCTTGATTTCGCTGCATAAATTGCCCTTAGCACTCCGGTTATTAGTGTTTAGGATATGGACCTAGAGGTTTACCGGGTACTTAAGTTAAATAACCTGTCCAAGAAGCTTAGTTTAGTTACATGATCCAGAATACACACGACAGTAAAAAAGCATTGTGGCTGGGTTCATCGAGTACAGTAAAGTTATATTACACTAAACACACTCAAGGTGTGATGCGGCCCACACAAGTGCACAGAAGCCACCAGAACTGGGCATCAATAGGAACAGAACTTCTCCAAAAAGCAGACTTGCTCTCATGTATGGTATATATCTGATTTTTCTCTATGTCCCTGACCTTTTTATGTGTGTAAGCTTTTATGCAAAGTGCAGGACATAATCTTGGGTCATGAAGTGCTATTTATCAAAGTACCATTGAATCATTACTCTACTTACTTTGAAAAAGTAAGTGGGGCCTCAGGGTCAAAATACATTTGATTTGGCCTGCTAGAAACTTGCCCCAACCCAGTAAACAACTCCTCACCCAGTAAAAGAACAAACATATTTGTATTATTTAAATTTTTTAGATTTATTATTTTTCTATTATTAAAAAAAAATTCAATTTCATAAAAAATACAATTAATTTATTATAATTAAATGCAATTTCACTTTAAGTACTTCTATTTGGAAGTAAATCATACAGTGTAATGTATAAAATAAGATCTAAAATCAGTTTTTTGTTTGCCATTTTGCAATCTTTGGCCTATCCTCTTAGCACCACTCACTTCAAAATTACCAACATGGCAACACAGGGAGTCTTGTGAGAGGTCTTCCTCGGTAGAGACAGTGGCCAGAGGAGCACAAGGCCAGAGACACTGCTGAGCCAAAGGGCTTATGTCAAACCTGGGATGGGAATTATCTAAAGACACCCAGGGCTGATTACTTGATCCTGAGTTGAAACGTTATCAAATCCTCAACATCTGCAGTCTCACTGGGCTCGTTATTTCACCTCATACATTAACATGGACACCTCACAAGTATCATGAATGTAAAGTCAGAGACTTAAAGACTAATCCCTTTGAATTTCAACCAGGAGACAGACAATCCTACAATTGCATTACTATTATTACACACACACACACACACACACACACACACACACACACACACACGCACACACACACATTGCCTGATCTATTTTCAGTTATCCCTTTGACTAGTTCACCTACACAGTTCACGCACACATGTGCACACACAAACACAAACACACACACACACACACACACGACCTGTTTGACTTCCATTTATTTCTAAACCACTTGCATAAGCTGATCTCATGTAATATTAAGATCATACCTGACACACTTTTGATTGTGTCACTGTGTGCTGCAGAGGGTTGGATTTGATTTTAAATGCAGGTTTAGTGTCATAGGGATTTTTACGCTGTTGAGTTGTCTTAGGTGGAAATGTGCTAATAGTAACACAATCACTCGGAAATGCCTGAGAGATATCCTCATTACTGTCAGAGGCTTTGGTCTTGTGTACATGGGCTCTGTCAGTGTATGAGTGATGGACGGCCACAGTGGCACATTGCCGCATAGTCTGGGGAGCAGGCATGCCTCGCCGCTGACCATGAAAAGGTTACTGAATAAATAGCCTATACAGCTTTGGTGTGCAAACCAAGACATACAAGCGTCGTCTCTATATCAGTCCAAATTACATCTACAACATCGAACATTTACTATACTACCTTCAGTCATAATAATTTAAATAGTTGCTTTATTAAATATTTGTCTGTCGCTTGCATTGTGCCTGCTTATCTGTCTGTCTGTCTGTCTGTCTATCTATCTATCTATCTATCTATCTGTTGATCTTTTTTCAACATTATATGTATTAAGCTTTAAAATAACAATTACAGTATTAAATAATAGGAACAAAAATATCAAGTCAAAGTACAGATTCATACTGTTGATACAGTTACAACAGTTCAGTTCTTTACATTGTTAATCTGTGTAGCAACACATTTTAGAGGGAGTTACTGCTCTGCAGTGTTCAGCTGGTGCGTGTTGCTCATTATTTGTAGCATTGCAAACTGTATATTTGCTTCACCTCACACAAAGGAAGAAGGCAGCTAAGTCTCTGTCACGTCTCTGCAGTCTTTAGATGTGTTTTAAGCAAATGACAGATATGGAACACTCCCCCACCCCCCGCATTCCTCTGCAGTGTCGTTATCTTCCCAAGAAGTACAGTCACCTGGTAATCAGTGCTTGGATACTTTTAATGGACTAACCCTGCTCCTTATGACAAACCAAAACTCACAATTCAAAAATAAACCACAGAGTCACCACTTTAGGTGAAATTGAGTTATTGTTGGTACTGTCGTTTCAAAGAGTGTTTTTAAGTGTCCATTTCTGGTCAGTATGACTATCATCTTTTTGCTTTTCATTGGGGACATACAGCACTAGTGATTGTAATTATTTGATGTTCAGGTTTATGTTTGTGTCGGGTACTTATAATACTCCTACAATGATGTAGAAGAGCATTGTTTAATTGTTAAAACCTTGTATCTTTGAAATGTCAACTTTTTAAGAGAAGGAAAATGTTTTTAAAGGAGCAGTGGACTGGACAATTAGAATTACACAGTTGTTCCCTTACCCCAAATTTAGTCAGTTGGTTAAGAAGTGTTTAGTGTCTTAAGTTTTCTTCCGTAGTTTTTTGGCCACAATTATGCTTGTTATGCAGCCCACCAGATGGAATTAGAATCCACACTCTAAATTAAAATCATACCATCGGACCATAATTGCCATTTGCAAAATAATGATTGACATGACGCTCAACCAATCACTGCTTGGTAGCTGTCTGTAAGCACTGCTTATTCTGATAACCCTGCTAGAAAAAACAGCAAAGACCGGCAAAGTGGTCACCAGCAAAACCAGCATATGTTGTGTTCTGGATGCTGGTGTGCTGGCCAACCAGCATGACCATGACGGGGGACCAGCTAAACCAGCACCAGACCAGTATAAACCAACATAGACCAGCTCAGACAAGCATGCTGGCCAAACTCTTCAGAACAAACCTGCAGTGTGTTGCCATAAATTATTATGCTAAGAAATGGAAAAATGTTACTGAGGCACATATAATTTAGACACCGGATCATCTGGAGGGCAGAGTTGTTGTTAATTCATTTCTGAAGCTGAAACAGTTTTAGATTAAACTGTGTAGAATACCAAGCTTCACAGCTCAATGGCAAATTAACAAACAGCTCTTAGGTTAGCTAAACCTTATTTGGGTCACTGCATTTGCTAACACCCATTTTAATATGATATCTAATAATAAATGACCCTGCAGAGCAATGTTAGAACCACTTAGCTAGCTAAGTTAGCTTTTATTAACTCAGCTGCTGACATTGCTGACAGTTTGATGACAGAAAACGTAACAGAAATTGTTTTTGGTGACATCGACTTCTATTATATTAGCTTTGTAGCTCCAGTACAAAACTGAAGATAACAAACATTTCTTGGCCAATCAGCTATGTTTAGGATGAGGAGAAAATTGTGTAAATTTGATTTATTGATAAACTATTGCTTTAACCCCATAAAATCCCAGGCTTATTACACACTAAGGCTTATTATTCAGTAACTACAGGGACTTCAACGCAAACTGTCTGGGCTATTCTTAGGTTATAGAAGCATGGAATAAAACTTTGGGTGTGTCGACGAGCCCCGACCATTTGAGGTCTTAACTTCAATGTGCGTTAACATAGCAAGGTTTTGTTCTAAGCAGCCTTGGGCCATCTGTATTAGCTTATTCATCAATAAATGTTTACACAGTGTAAAGGGCAGCAGGCATTTTCAAACTAAGTTAAAATGAACAGCTGAAAAAATGGAGTCACAAGGATTTGATCTGACAGTGATGTGATGTTTGTATTATTATTATTTGTTTATAATACGGCCTAACAAGGTATGGACTTTATGACCTCAACTTTTCTTGTAATTTATGATTGTGTCTAGCTTGGTGTGGATAGGTCTGCTACATTTAGTATTGTTGTTTGCTCTGTGTATTGACCCCTAAACACTGTCCTTTCACATCCGCTGAAGGCTCTGTATTGTGTGGGTGTGTTTTGCTGTGTTTAGAATGCTCATGAAAATATATACAGTTTTTGTTAGATGTAATCGAGCAGAGATTCATGGTTGACTTTTTATGGTCTTACTGTGTCCTTGTGTGACAGGAGAAGAAATGCAAGGCCTGGCAAGTCATCACACACACACACACACACACACACACACACACACACGCACACACACACGTACAGAGGCAGCTGGTCAGGTCATCGGCATTGCTGTCTGTGTGCTATAATTATTTACCTGCCATCTGTCACACATAAAACCCATTGTCTCTGTCTGTGTGCTTTTAGTAGCTCACTCTGACTCCACAGACAGCAGCTCAGGTACTGTAGCCTTCTTTACATTCACTTACACTTAACTGTGTAGAGAGACTGCATTATAGAGCTCTGTGCACTGCTGTTGTGTATTATAACTGTAGATGTGTTATCACTTTTTCTGGATTTAAAGAGAAGGTGAGATACAAAATAAGTCATTGGTTTTGTAATAGTACCTCTTTGAATGAGCTAAACTGTGTAGATATGGTGCTTTTTACATGTTCCAAGTAAGGAATTCATTTTACCTCATTATTACAGCTTTTATATAGCATCTTTTATATATCAGTGCGCAGGTGACTAATTGTCTTTGTGTTCTTTGTGCTGATATGAGTTCTTGTCTTTTCCCCCTGATCTCAGGTTTCACAATGGCAGATGAGTGAGTATATTTTTAAATACATTTGTCTTCTGCAAACACCTCTTAATTCTAATCATCCCACCAGCAAAAGTGCAAATGTATATTTGCTTCATTTTTATCTACATGAACATTAATATTTGAGGTCAGTGTTTGGATTTTCTCCTGTAAAACTTTTCTCCTGTAAAATCTTTCTCATTCCTCTGCTCTCTTTGTCCACTTTCTGTTAAAACCTCTACAGTGTAAGTGCTTTTGAAGATTCACAATTTTTTACATATGCAATATATTTAATAAAACTAAATCTGCATAAAATATGATAATAATTTATCTTTTTCTTTTACATGAACACAGGACGCCCCCAGGCCAATGGCCCCTCGGGTTCAGGCTAAGGTACTTCCCTCCAAACCTGAAACACTGAAATGTGTTTAACTGAAATATCACATAATGTCACTTCTATTGTGTTATTAAATTGGGTTATAACCATACTCAAACCTTCTGTAGATTGTTGTTAATTTTCTACAAAGTTTTCTGTTTTAGTAGACTTTTTTTATATAATTGTTACATAACATAATTTGACTTTCTACATAAACTAATAGGAGCAAAACTCTAATAGCAACTGAAACTAAAATGCTGAACTGATTTTTTTTTTGTAGCCTAAGTCGAAGATCTCAGCTTCGAGAAAGCTCTCTCTGAAGGTGAGTTACATTTTTTCCGAATACTCTCTTGTTATTTACATATCAGGGCTAATTTAATTATCTGATCTACACTTCTGTTTAAAAGTCTGGAATTATTTGGCATATTAACAATGTTTTGTTGTTTTATATACACAAATTACTTCTAAGATGTGAATTTATATATTGCAAACAATATAAAACTAACAAAATGTATTTTTAGATATTTCAGGATTTTCAGGATATTTCAATATATCAGGATTTCTGTGAACAGGAAGAGAAAAAAGAACGTACAATAACAATGTAAATAGCAATTTATATTATTTTTTCAGTCCTTTTAGAATCTTCTAAAACATGAAGCATGTTCCCTGTAGAGGATGTATTAATTTATTTTTACGTAGAAAATCAACAAAACATATAATTTGACTTTTACATCTAACTGTATAAGTGTAGTGTTTTGTGTTGGATTCATGTTTTGAGGAACGGTTATGTGGTCAGTTTGCTGCAGTTGTTTATATGTATTCTGAGGGGTGTTTGTGTGCCAGATTCTGCTGCTGCAGAGAGCGATGGAGGATCTGGAGCAGGAGAAAGTGACCCGTGATGAGGAAAAGGTCCGCTACCTGGGCGAGAAACTCCAACCTCTACAGATGTCCGGTCTTGCAATGGACGAGCTACAGGTGCGTGAATGGAGGCTTAGTCGATGAGGTAGAGAGAGTAACTAAAATAGACCACAGTGACCACATTGCTTAAAGTAATCAGGCAGTGATCAGTGAAGTAAACAGTGTGAATGTGGAGAGAGTCACACAATAACTGTACATTAATCACATTAAAATCTAGACAACACAGTAACAAAACATCAAACCTAATCATAACAAAAGTAGCTTTAAACGAAAAGGGAAAAATATTTTTAACTTTAAAGTATGAAAAAGTAATTTTAATAAATTTCTGTTGATCCATTAATTCCACTGAATTCCACTGATGTTTCTGAATTTCTGTATTATTAAATCATTTACATGTAAATAAAGTCATTCAGAGTGGTTTGAAGTAAAATGTGGCTTTCTAGAGAAACTTGTTCACAGTGGTGCTGATAGGAACCAGACGTTTGAAGTAGTTAATGCCTCTAAAAGCTCCTTCACAGAAAGTTAGGACATTAAATGATTACAGATACACTGCCTGATTCCTGAAGAACTGTTTTATGACAGGTTTATGAAATTTTTTGGCTTAAAACATAATATATAAAATTACATTTATGGTGCAGAAATACATGCAGGATGTTGTGAGACAAAATAGTTCCCAAAGAACATATTTCTTTTTCTTTATACTATTATTTTGATATTATCAATATTATATATAAAAAGTCAGAAGACAGGTGGAGGTTCAACGGTCATTGTGGATAGTAACTAAAATGGCTATATTTGAGTTGTAGACATCACAACCTCTGGTTCCTATCACCACCACTGGAGTTGTATGTTGTACGTGGGGCAGGGGGTGCGATCGCACTGGGGCCCAATGCACAGGGTCACACGGTAATTTCTGGGTCATGCGTGTACAGTTGTGTCAGTATTTATATGAGGAGCCCAGAAAGATGTGGTATGCAAATGTTTGGGAGCTTCTGGACAAATTACATGTGTTGTTGATTGTCTAGGTGAAAATAAGTTAACACATGTTCTACCCAGAACACTCTTCTTTCAATACACAATTACTTTGCTGAATTTAACATACTGAAAAAAAAAAACATCAAATGTGGCCTGTGCAGAAGTTAAACTCAGCAAAGAAATTAGAAATCCTTCACTAAAATTGGCAGAAAAATGCCATATTGAAGTGTGTTCTCTGATGGATCTGTTCTCAGAGGATGTGTTAACTTACTTACACTTAAACAACAAAACATGTAATACAAAGTTGTAACTATGTAAAACATAGTTTTGCATATGACTGCATGTAACCACTAAACTTCCATTATACAGCCCCAATGTTTAATTATTTCCCTTTAATTTATGATGCATTTCAATAGTAGTAATCAATCACAACATGCATGTAAACAATAAGGTTAATGTTAGATGTTAGATGCTAGTGATCGGCTTTGAGGTGTAATAAAAGTAAGTAAACAAGCAAATAATAGTGGGCCTCATTCACCAATATCTTCCTAAGTTTCTTCTTGAATCTTAAATTGTGGAATTGTGCGCACCTTTGTGTAGATTCTGTTCTTACCTAAGAACAAATCCCAAATAAGAAAACACTGGCAAATGTCAGAATCTTTGTAAAAATGCATTAAGAAGAAATTTCTTCTTAAGAACAGTTGGTGAATGAGGCCCAGTGTTTTTTTATTAATTTTTTTATTTGAAAGTAATTTTTGGATGGGGGGGGCATTGTTTTTTGTACCGGGATCCATAAGCCCCTAGTTACGCCACTAGATCCACTCATAATGAAGTGTTCACTCCACATAAACGGCAGCTGGTGTCAAATGGTTTAAAAAAAAATGGAAGTACGAGGTTTTAATCTCATAAATGGCCAGGGCCCAGAAGCAGGCCCAATGTTTTATTACACACTTCTAAGAATCTTCTGAGAATAAGCTCAGCCAGTTTGCACTGAAGTCCCTGTAGTTACAAAATAATAAGACTTAACATGTAATAAGCCTGTGAAACGGTTAAAAGGATAATGACATGATGTGTGTATGTGTCTCTCTGCAGAAACTGTGCAGACAACTTCATGCTAAAGTTGACGTGGTGGACGAGGAGAGGTACGACATTGAGGCCAAAGTCAACAAGAACAACAAAGAGGTGAGTGTAGAAGGCTGCTCGCATCTTCTGCACTCTGAGATACTATATCATCCTGTACAATCATAATCAGTCTGTGTGTTACAGATTCACGAGCTGAAGCTAAAAGTGCAGGACCTCGGGGGTAAGTTTAAGAAACCTGCTCTGAGGAAGGTGCGCGTGTCCGCTGATGAAATGATGAGAGCTCTGCTGGGGTCCAAGCACAAAGGCTCCATGGACCTTAGAGCCAACCTCAAATCAGTCAAGAAAGAGGACATTAAACAAGAGAAGGTATTTGAACACACAGACATAATGAGATGAACAAGACAACTCCAAAACATTCACAGAGAGGGAGTAAACACTCTTACATTAAATGATTATTGTTGTCATAAGAAAACCTTTATCTTTGAAATGTTAACTTTAGTATTAGTGATGTAAAAAACAAACAAAAAAAAAGCTTTTCACATATTTTACTGGTTCATCTTTTGTGGAAAAAAATAAGCAAAAATGGAGTTGTGAGGTTTTCCTGATCCCTGCACATATCACTTTGTCACTATATTGCTATACATAATCTGTCACTATATTATTATACATACCATACCATATTGTCAGGTAAATAACTTGTCATAGTAAAAAAGTTTTTCAATAATAGCTTATATAGTGTAAATTCAAATGTCATAAACTAGACACCAAAATGTAATCGACTTATACCCATTTTCAAAAAGTGGAAAAATGAAAAAAGGAAAAAATTGAGCATTACTAAATGACTAAATAATGAACTGATTTATAAACCCAATTCCAAAACTGTTGGGACAGTAGGTAAAATACAAAACGGTAATTTGTAAATCCACTTTGACCTGTATTTGAATAAAATCAGTATAAACATAAGATATTTAATATATGTAATATTTTATGACACTTATTCTGAAACTGATGTCTTCAGCATGTTCCAAAAAAAGTTGGGACAGAGGCAATTTAAGACTAGGAACATTGTGAAATGTTCACAAAACATCTTAAACGGGTGATGCAATAATGCTTGGACATAAAAGGATCCAGGAAAGGCCTCGTCCTTTATGAGCCAGGATAAGTCGGGGCTCACCACTTTGCCAAAAATGCATCAGCAAAAAATATAACAGTTCAAAAATAACATTCCTTATCCAGGGATTGCAAGATTTTAGGTATTTCACCCTCTACTATGCAGAATAACATCAAAATATTTTGGGAATCCAGAGAAATCTCTGTGATTAAGGGGCAAGGCCATGATCTCCTTAGAGGGAATGGCAGTAGAAGTAACCTGCCCATGCACCATTAACGCTGAACACATTTTAGAACAAAATATGCTGCATATTAGACACGATCTTTTTCAGGGACGCCCATGCTTATTTCAACATGACAACACCAAGCCACATTCTGCCTGTTGCAAACAGCATGGCTGTGTGATCAGAGTGTGGGTGCCAGACTGGGCTGCCTGTCTCCCATTACAATGTGTGACATATTGTAAAGCACAAAATATGTCATTGTATTTTGGCCCTGTACTGTTGCACAGCTGAGGACTTAGGCGACGGAAGAAGCTTTTTAAAAACGAATCAGTTTGGGTTTTCAGTACCCATTAAAGGAAAGGTGATGTAACAATGGTGCACATGTTCCTGTCCCAACTTTTTGGAATATATTGCAGGCATCAAATTTAGAATGAGTGTATATTTACAAGAGAACAATCACGTTAAGGTAAAACATAAAATATTGTGTTTTTGTACCATTTTCAATGTAATACAGGTCAAACAGAATTTACTAACCACTGCTTTCTTTTTTGGACATGGGCTTGTATTTATTTATAGTCATTTCCTGTCATAAAATAACTATGAAAAGCTATCTGCCCAGTGAGATTTGTTCATTGCATTTAAAATATTCTGGAAATTAATTTTAATCTCAATGTTATACAGCCTTCTCAATCATTATGAAGCTCCGTTCATCTTTGAAATGTTCTTAATTTTAGCGTTTTCTTTACAGCTTAATTTCTACAGAGCTTACAGCCTGTTGTAATCTCTAATCTAAAACATTAACATTGTATTAGAGTAGTTTTATAGCATGTTATTTGCAACAAAACTGTTTTTACGTTCTTGAAAATAGTGATTCCAAACTTTTCAACAGTATGTCTGACCAACCGATGTGTATGTGTGTTTGGCAGGTGCTGACCACTGAGGTAGGTGACTGGCGTAAGAACGTGGAGGCCATGTCCGGTATGGAGGGCAGGAAGAAGATGTTTGATGCTGCTGGAGGAGGACAGTGAGCAGTGTTTATAGTTTTGTAAATATGAGTGTGTGAGAGACTTGATCTTGTTTAAGCTGTCAGAGCTGCACTTGCTCATGCTTGGTAGATAATTCTCTCAAGAATGTAAGAGCTTACTTTTTCCCATGTGATGTCAGCTATCATTTCATCTCCATCATCTCACCACAATTATTTTCATTTCATGGTGTAAGACCACAGGTTTTATCTGGAAATGATGACTTGAACTGAACCAAACGCACATAAAAACACAATGTCATTTTTTAAACATTTTCTGAGTGGACCTTCTGGAAAAACTGTAAATGGAGAAATAAAAACATTTTGATGTCAGTGTTTGTGATTCATGATTGTGAAGGCATACATGTAACAAACACACATGCACTGCCCCCTTCCCCCAACATACACACACACACACACACACACACACACACACTCTGTATAAGAATATCACTGCGTCACATCACAGCAGCTGTCACGATGAATCACGATGAATGGACCAATAGAAATGCTCCAAAAAATTACTTGGAATTACCTTCAAAGGGAAGAGTGTTTTTCCTTCTCCTGTAAAGTGTTTTACATGATTTTACATGTTTTTTTTTTGGACAGTGATGAGATGCAGCTTTGTGTTACTGAATTATTTATTATTATTATTTGAGTTTTACCACATAACTGAGGCATGATGTCACTGTTAGTGTCCGCTGAGGGTGACCACCAGCCTGGAAAATTCCAACTGTGTGAGCCATCTTAACAATTGCTTTTGTGCTGAAGGACAGGAGGGTGTGTAAGGCAAGTGTTCTGTCAGGGGCTGTGAATTATGGTGTGTGGGTGTGTTTTATAGATTTACTGGTATATTTTAAGAGAGCAGTTTAGGAGCTTCCTGTTACTAACCTCAGCCAACAAACTAGTGAATCGGCAAGACGCAGAGGCTTCACTCACTTTACTTGATAGACAGGATCATTTTCAGTCCTTGAAAGTTTGCATATAGTTTATCCTGGTGGGTGTGTGTGTGTGTGTGTGTGTGTGCCAATGTCTTTACTCATCTTTTATAAACAGGTCCAATGATAATAATAGTTTTAATCAGGAAAAGCCAATGATTATCATTTCTGTCTCTCAACAGGCAAAGTTTATACTAGTCCGATAAAGCCTAACAGAGAAAACACACAGGGGGAAAAGGTGGAAAATGCCCCCTTTAAGAACAAAGTCCATTTACTGTAAAGCTAAACTATATCTGTGAGTGAGTGAGTTACAGGATGAGATAGAGATAGTTACAGGATAAACCTATCCACACTTAGGGAAAATAACCTAGAACAGCAGTCAGTTTTGTTTTCAAAAAAAAGAAAATCTTGTAAAGAGGCATCTTGCTACTCCTACTCCGAAATGAAATTGAGGACTTTTAATTTCTAACCTAAATGATTCCACTTCATTTTAATAAACAAAAACAAATGACAAAATAGCAACATTAGAAATACTTATTTTGTTCATTAATTAAAATGTTACCATGATATGTTAGTTACATTATCTTTACATAAATTCACACATAATAATAATAATAATAATAACAATAATAATAATTATTATTGTTGTTATTATTATTATTATTATTATTATTATGCAACACTATTAATTTATACAATGCAGCGTCATTCAGTATTTAATTGTTAAGTGCAAACTGACCAAATCCACAGATTTGGATTGAGCAGATCTTTGCTAGTGGAACAGAAGAATCCAGAAGACTTTCTAGCAGACAGATTTTATTTAATATAACATACTGTGCAAAAGTCTTAAATCATAAACTTGGCAATAAAAATGTTTTGGTTTGTAAAAACACCACATATCATTAGAATCAATACAAAGAAACATAAACACAGCAGAAAGTAACATGAATTTCTTATTTTGAAAGTAGTTTGTATTTTGTAAGTTAGTTTAAAGAATAAAGTTTGGTTCCAGATTTTTTCCTGAACACCACCACACAACATTCAGAACTGATTGAGCCAAACCAGGTATTGGATGATACCTACAGATAATACTGGGCTGCCATGAGGAGGTTTGGAAAGGCTTAAACAAACACATTGACATACATAAAATCACTGCATATTGTATTAATGTTATATGTATTTATTATAACATTAGCGTTCTTCTGAGCAAAAAATGCTCATTGTCCAGAAAGTCTAAAGCTTTTGCCCAGTATTGTACATAAAAAATAAAATAAAATCTGCTGTACTTCATAGCACAAAGTAAACAGCATCTGCCTGAAACCATCATATGACAATTTTTTACATTTATTTTTCCTGTGACTAAGAAAAATGACATACCAACAATTATATACATAGGTATATAAATATATTTGACAACATTTTTTATTTCATTGAAGACAGATTGTTGAAGACAGATGAGCAGCAAATCTCTTAAAACCAAAATAAGGTATTTCTTTAGGTTTAGTGCACGCGGCTTGACTCTTGCCTGTATCTGTCCTTACTATAGACCCTTTTATATACACACATATAAAATTAAATATGCATAAAGCCAATGCAACCTGACTGAATTCATACAACTAAATAAGCTGGAAATAAGGAATAACATTTCCTGATTAATTTCCCTTTTTTGCAACAGAAAGCAAAAGGCACTTTTGAGTCAGTATGGTATTTTCCACTTTTCCTGAGTCAGATCATGCAGCAACTGCTACTAATCACTAGTCCACTTACTATTAAACAATAAAAGACCATAAACAAAGCTGTGCTAAATCCATAGATTTTTTAAATCTTCTAATTAATCTTCTCTTAATGAGGCAGATTGAGTTTGCTGCGACTAATTAATTTACGTATCTGAGTAATTCTGCACAGTGAAACGTCTGAAACAATATGATTGCTACCACTCCTCCTTGGAATGTGAATAAGCAGAATGTTATGTATTGCTTCTGCACTCGTCAAGCAAAAAGGTTTTTCTTAAGACAAAGGCTACTGCCTAGGTTCCACTCTGTCCATGCTGATTAAATCAGAGGTGAAGTGTCTTGCAAGTGACTTGCAATAAGGCCTGCAGGCTGAAGGCACAGAACTATTGCACCTAGTTGGTTTGATCACTGTCCAGCTGAACACCCAGGAGTGACCAACACTGGTCCTGGAGATCTAATCACCCTGCAGAGTTCAGTTTCAGTCCTCTAACATAATCATAACTTGATTCACCTCATTTACAGGGACATTAGAGGTAGGTGTATTAATAGAATGGTTATTCAAAAAAATCTAAATGAATCAAACAATTAACCCCAATCGTGTTTGCCGTCCAAAGTTGACTTCTTTAGTATTGTCGTGGAGCTGCGAGGCTAACATAGCCAAAATGTGTAAAAAATCTGTTATATAAGCCTTGCATCTCCAGCGCAAAACTACTATTGGCTGCATATGTTGGGGTTCAGGCGAACAAACCATGCCAATGTGATTTTTAAACCAAACTGGACCAATCCTAGAAGTTAGGGTTGGAACTAAACCAGAAACACTACAATAAAAGGAGACAGTTTACTGGATGAAAAATGAATAAAAATGGCATCTGTTTATGAGAAAACTCAGTTAGTTGTTTAGCTCTCATAGCAGTTATAGTCCACAGAAATCAATGTGTTTGACATATATTTCAGACACAAACTACATGGAAGCTGATTGTTTTTGTTTGAACAATGTGCATTTAAACGTTAACCTTTTTACCCACCGTTTGAAAACTATTACAGAAAGAAATACAAATATATGAAAATAAAAACACCTTGAACACTTTGTAGCTTTCTTCACATTTTAGCAATGTTATCCGAAAACATTGCATATAAAAAGTAAATAGGTCTCTCTCCATTCAAAGAGCTAGGAGCCTGGTCTTCTATGACTAGAAATAACTGCCCGAAGGTGTTTCCAAGATGGCTACCAAGTGGACAGTCTTTCTTATAAGGACTGTGACTAAACCTTGTAGGTGGATAGATTCCCAGGAGTGGCTTGGGCAGCCCTACCATAGAGCCCCAGAGAGGGTCTGTACACTATATACAGTACAAACGCTAATGTGGAATGAAACCCACACGAAACCATTCTACACCAATAAATACACATTCACATGAAATACACACAGTCTCTAAAAACAAGACAGTGTGTAAAATAAAGAAATGCTTCGAAGCATAAATAAAGCTAAGATGCACTTAATTTTAGAGCACTTTCTCTCCTGAGTGTGTATCTTCAGTAGTATCAGGAGCATCCAAAGAGTTTAGCTCCTTCATGTTTCTTCTTTTGGTTTCCACTACCACAACCAAAGCCTATCATCACAAACACTGCCTGACTGACAGACAGCATCAGCCAGCCAGACCTCTGGAATGCCCCGAGGCCCACCCTCACAGGAGCCGTCTGCCAGAATGGGCAAACAGAGCATAGGCTGAATAAAGTGCCACAGTGACTGTTGTGCTGAAGATGTGGGGTTGCCATAGTTACGTATCAGGGACTATCCGGCGGTTCCACATGCCACGCCGAGTGTGGTAGTAATGGAAGAAATTCCTCAAGTATAGCCGCTCCACTTCCAATCCTGCCTGCAGGATCCTGCAGACAAGAGCAATACATCATCCATTCTATCAACCACATCTAGACACAAGTAATTACACATCAATAAAACTACATGGTTCAGAACTACATGTATTTGTATAATCATAATCATATAATTACATGTAATTACGAACCATGCAGTTTTATGCTCGGAATAATTCAGAGGCAATCAGAACATTATAATTAGCCTTGTAGAAAAGTAGAAGTAGAAAGTAGAAAAGTGTAGTAGCCTACATAAACTGTTACATCAGACAAACAGTGTAATGGCCCACCTGTCCAGTAGTTCCCAGTCCTCTCCTCCCCAGCGGACAGTGAAGTCTTTGGTGTTCATGCCACCAATAGAGTCCAGGTCAGATTTATAAATACCCAGCAAACCAAAGCCGTTTACTTCCCAGTACCCTGCAGAATGCCCAAGCAATACTGTATTATTTTGGGCTTTTCAGATCACACAAAATGTGCAGCAAAAATGTGTGAAAATGCATTTTTAAAACATATATTTCAGACTACATGTGTGTGATGTATTTCGCATATGACTGCACAGGATCTAGAGCAGGACCTGAAGGTCCCGATTCATCAAATTTCCGGCTCATGAAAGTCCAAATAAGCAAACTATCATAAGTGAATGGTGACAATGGTTGCCTTTAAATGTTTAATTAATGATTTCTCTAGGGAAATAATGGAATAGAACGACACAGATTAAATACTTTCAGAACAATTGAAAAATTAAATTGTCAGTTAAAAAAATATATATATTTTTGAAAGGAAAAACTATTAAAACTTTAAAAATCTTTACAAATATTTGTTCCATATAAAAATTATATATAAAATGTAATTAAAATAAAAATAAAGACTTTTCTTAGTAAGAATATCATGCTCTTGTGCTGGGAATGAGCACACTGTAGGGTCTTTTATGTTAAGCTTTAGGTTTATTTTATTTGTCCAGAGAGACTGGATTTTGTTGGTAGTTTAATCTGAAGTGTTTTGTCTCGTGCTGACGCTTAACATTCCAACTTCTGACCAGCACCACAGACTATGAACAGATAGAGAGGAGGGGAGAAGAACACTCTGTTTACACTACTCAGACAAGGGATAGTAAATAAAATGTAAAATCTATGAAAGCAGGAGAAATGATTCTCTTTGTAACCTAATATCTACACCGGTAGATAGTCTGTGTTTTGATGAACTGCCTTTGGCTAAATTGTGTACATAAATGCAGTGAAGTGAATAAACCACTGCACAGCACTGCTACACAAGTTGTGCTGGTTCATGTTCATGTATGTCGCTGCAATACAGTTAGTATTCGGTTCGGTCCACTGAAACACTTTCACATTCAGGTTCACAGTCCACTTTTAATGCTGTAACTTCTCCCCCTGCAAGTCTCCCTGCATTTCCTCCTGCATTAGATTTTTTCCTACCTTTCATTACTTTAACAAAATAATCTGGCAGACTAAAGTAACTCACTCATGCAGCTGACAACATTTAGCACAGAATCCCATGAGGCTCACAAATCTCTTACAAACTCCCCCTGCAATCAAAAACTGGATAAAACACAACTTCATGCTAAATAGCGATAAGACTGAAGTCATCCTCATTGGATCTAACTCAACCCTCAGTGAAACTGCTTCTCTCACTCTCCACATTGACAATGTATCTGTGTCCCCTTCCCCTCTTATTTGAAATCTGGGTATCATTCTCGACTCTATCCTTTCATTTGGTCCCTAAGTAAGAACTGTTTTTGAAACCGCAATTAGCTCTTCTCCTCTCACAAGCTCCAGACATTCCAGAACTCTTCTTACTCATACCTGGTCACACCATCACATTACACCCATTCTTCAAAATCTTGCTTTTTTACTTCCAAAGCTCTTAACAACCTCGCTCCTTCTTGTCTGTCTGATCTTCTTTCCTACAAACCTACTTGTACTGTTAGGTCCCCCTCGTCGCTGTATACTAAGCTACTGACAGGACAGGCTCACTGAGCACCATTTGTACATTATATGTCTTTACTCTGTACTATGCACTACCATTTTTTTTATACAGCTATAAATATTGCACATCGCACTGCCACTTTGTTTATACACCTATAAATATTGCACAACACACTGCCACTTTGTTTATACACCTAGGCATATTGCACAACTATTAACAGATGTTATCGTTTACAGTGTAGTCACTCGGTTCATCCACCATGTATGCATTGTCACCTGCATAATATTAATGCAATTTTCCTTACTTATTCTTGTGCTGCACATTATATTTTATGGTTGTTTTAGTATATTTTATTATATATCTTTACATTCTATTTATGCATGTGTATAACAGCATAAAACAATATTTTTGCTATTTACTGTATTTTGTGCTGCTGTAATAGACGACCCCACCTACCTACCTACCTATCGCTGGGCTACTCACTATTCCATTATCAACCCAAAGCTTACGTGATCAAGCAGTTTTAAGATTTGCTCCTTGCGTCTAGAACATCTCTCCCTCCGCAAGTCCGGTAATCTAGTTGACCAGTTGTCATTACCATACTTAAAGTGTTTCAGACATCTGTAGAAAGAACTGTGTTAGCAGCATGCTGATAGGGGCTGGGGATGGTGGCATATGCTGACAGAGTTCTATGGTAACACTGATGCTACTGATTTGAAGTAAACAGGAACACACAGAAAAATCTATCAGCACAAATTTAATATGAATTTTTTTATTTCCTCTAAGTCCTCAGTCAGAGATGATTAACTGGCCAACCGGTTTGTTGTGGTGTGTGCTAGAAAGCTACCCAAATGGTCCTCTATTCATATGTCTTGTTCAATTAATACTCTTGTGATTAAACAGTGGGACCTAAAATTTACTACTTGGAAAGTTTTCACACGAGAAAGAGAGATTAGTGTGCGTACCATCAGGTTCCTGAGGTGTAGCACCACAGTTAAGCCTCATCACTATGGGAGCAAAGGCCATCCGTCCTTCAACACAGTGTCTCCTCACCGAGTCAATAAAACCCAGCGGGAAATGGATGTGCAGATCACACAGAAACACAATGCTGTGCTCATCCTGAGAAAAATAAAAAAAATATATATGTAATTCAGATGCAATGCAGCATTATTCACATGTAATTACATATGCATTCAAAACTTACTGTAATGAGGTCTATTCCAGCCTGTAGCCCTGCTGACCTCTGAAAGTTTCCATTTAGTCTGAGGTACTGGTAACTGAGAGAGAGCAGACAGACAATTACAATCACAAAGAACAGAGAGACATACAAATACAAAGAAAAAGGTACTTAAAAATACTGTATGTGTTTGTACCTTGGTAGATGAGAGTTTTTCAGGGCTTTCTCTATATCCATATCTGTGCTGTCATAATCAGTGATGATGATGTTGAAATTGCTGTCTCCAGTGGCTCTGTTGAGCTCCTCCATGTCCACAATGAACTGCTGCACCCAGCGAGCCTGGTTCTTCACTATATACACATACACAAACTTAATTGGGTTCTGTATAAAACAACAATCACTAAAAATGCTTCGTAGTGTATTCTGCGCTCATAAACAACATTAACAAAATTATCTGGAAAAAAAGATCAAATTTACACAATTTTCCACTTACCTCAAATGTACTGGATCAGCCAAGATATTTTGCTGTCCAAATTTTTTGTTTCTTTAGTTCAGCGCTGTAACTATGAGGCCTACACTACTAACAGTCAATAGGCACCCACATCTTTTCTTTAACTACTTGCCCAAAACTTCTCTTGACCACCACAAATCACATTCAGCTCAAGGACGGTGGTTTAAACTATGCATTGTGCCAAATTCTGCCTCCCTCCACAGAATCAGACTCCTATTCATGTTCGCCTTTAGGATGCATGGACACTAGACTACAGTTTCTGATTTTTATTTATAAATTTAAGATAAATATAAGAGTTTTTCATAAAAATGACCAACAGAAATTGTGACCAGAATCTGCTGCGTGTAGAAGTCAGTGTGATGTGTGCATATGAAGAATGAAGAGTTGGAATTCAGCACAACACTTGTTTCCTAAAATGGCTGCCCAATCAGTTCTGCTACAAGGAGAAATTCTGTTTCTTTTTTATAGTTCACAAAAAGTCATAATAAGCACTAAATCACACTGACTAGTCTGCAAGATCTTAATTAAGATCAAGATGAGGTTTGAGTAGATTGAGAGAAATTTGGGGGATGTATATACAGAAAAAGATTTGGGTGACTATCGACCTCTAGTGTTTATCACTGTTAGCCCTGTAGCTTTAGTTTAACACTAAAGAAGAAAAATTCAGACACTAAACATTTCTTGGAGGATCGACCACATCTGGAGTGAGAGGACAACTGTGTAAATTAGATTTTTCACCAAGCCATTAATTTACCCATTGACATCATTACCATTACTGAGAGAGAATTTCTCCTTCTTATTATACTAAACTGCTGAGAACAATTCACCATGCTGATAATACATTCTCAGTAGTGGTCCTAGGGGTCTATACTGTTGATGAATGGGACAAAGAATGGCTAACAAATTATACAGAGAAACAAATTAACTTGTGAAACCACAAACTGCACCTACATGATACGTACAGTGTAGATACAGGGTAGGTGTACTTAATAAAGTGGCCAGTGAATGTGTAGTGTATATATTTTGCAATACTCTGTTTAGTGTTAATCAAAGTTTCTTCCTTGATATCATAAGCAGGATTTGCCTAAATAATGATTTGAGAGTTTTCTTTTCCAAACTATTGTTAAAAGAACATACTGAAAATCTTATGGATTAAAAGTGGTTTAAACACCTGAAAGCTTTAAGTGAGGAACTCCATGTGTCGATGTGTGTATCTGACCTGGCACAATGAAGTGGACAGTAGCTCTGGGGTTCCACTGGAAGTTGTGTGGGTTGCAGAGCAGAAGATGTGGGTGGTCACTCTGCTTGTTGACGCCACTGCCTCGGCTGTGGTCAGGGCGGTACAGAACATAGATGTAGTGAGCTAGGCGTATTCTGCGCCTAGACCACTCCAGCAGATCCAACTCCAGCAGATACCGACTGCCCCGAGCTGCATCAGGCCGCTTCTCTACATTCACTATATGCTGGAGAGAGAACCGACTAGACACAGACACACACAGACACACACACAAAAACAAAATATGATTTACCTTGCAAAAAACATTCCTTTTACTCTATATGTCAGTATCCAACCAGCCCACACATTCATCTGTATGGGCGGGAAAAATAATTGGTTCTTAAACGCACTGTGATTCTCTCCTTAAAGGTTCTAATTAATTCACAAAACCTCATAATCAGATATTTATTCAAACACCTAGAGACATTGTAAAGATAGATACTTTGGTGAAGCGCAGCTTGGGAGAGGAAAAAGAATGTAGGATCTCAACAAATCACACAGTCACAAAGTGGTCATGGTATAAACACTACTTGTTAATGACAAATACGATAAAAAAACGACAATGTAGGATATTGAAATCATTACTGAGATGCATCAAAATTAGTTCAGAATCATTTTATAATTGCATCAAACCTGAGTGGAAATGGAGATTCTAGAGATTCTCACCCTCCACTCACCCCTACTCATCATCACGCAAACCTTTCAGGTTTTTAAAACCACCTTTGGGTCAAAAGATCTCCGAAAACTGGCACATTATCATTTAAACAACAGCTACTCTTTAGAATATGGTATGAAATTCATACCAAAGAAGACAGTTTGAGCATCATGAGCCTGAATGTTGCAAAAATACCCAAAGGTTGAATAAATGTTTTATATTTTATGACTTTTAAAGTAGGCAAGGTGTCTCAAAACATTTGACAGGCAGTGTACAGTAGCACTCAAAAGTGTAGAATCACTCGCCATGTCAACAAATCTATCAATATATATCTTGTGTGTGGGTGTAATACATTATAAACACACACACGCACACGCACACACACACACACACACACACACACACACACACACACAGATGCACCTCTGAATCTATTCAGATTTTTTTTTTTAATAGCATCTGCCATGAGAGAGACTTTACACATTTCCCAGTCATTTTAGAATCATCTACAGCTCGTTCGTTTGTCTTCTTTCCATTTAATTCTACTGAAAACAATGGGCCTCACTCATCAATCACTCAGTTTTTTCTTAAGTAGTTCTGGAGAAAGATCCTAAGAAAAAGTCTACTTAAAAACTGCTTAAAAGTCTACTTCAGACTTATGGCATGTTTCTAAACCACAGAATTGTTTGCACCTTTGTGCTCTTGAATGTGTGTAGATTCTGTTCTTACCTAAGAACAAATCCCAAATAAGAAAACACTGGTGAATACTGCATAATAATATTCTAAAATAAAACTTATAAAAGTTCCAAACTTTTTAATGGTAGTAGTACACATTATTCTCTCTCTAACATACCTTGGGTATTTCTTGTTGAGTTTCTCCATGAAAGTCTGCACTACAGCCTCAGCCTCTGACTGCCTGATCAGCAGATTCCCAGACACGTTGCAGGTTAGATCTATCCAATCAGATCGTAGAGTCTGGAAGTCCAGCGGCTTGACCTGGAACGTCTGAGCCCAGTTCACCTCACGGTCAAACCCAACCCGGTTGAGGAGGTCGTTCTCTGACTCAGAGTCTCCATAGAGTGCCCAATTGTCTACTGTGTCGTCTTCTTCGTCATACTTGCTCAGTTTCTGCTTTCTTTTGGGTACAATTCTAGCCTCCTCTCCCACTGCCTCTTTCTCTCTCCTCCAGGAGTGGTTATTTTCCTTGGTGGGAGAATCAACAACATCCATCTCCACATGCCCAGTAATGGACTGGGGTAAATCTAACCCCTTTGTCATCTGTTTAGTATCAAGCCTGTTTGCATCTTGAGTAATGGCATAATGATGTTCTTGAGGTTTAGGCCCATTTAACAGCCTGATGGAACCATCTTTTATTTTATGAGACAGAGATCCATTTGAATTTGACCTGAGAGACAGAGAAGCATTACCCTCATCTACATGCAACATTGCTGCATTTTCTCTGTCTGAATTTGCTACTTTGTGATTCAGGACCCTATGCTCAGCAGCTTGGTCCTTCTCTTGACCTGCTGACCTGTGCTTAGTACCATCCAGTAAGCTTGCATCAGTTTCGCTTCCTGCCCGAATAACTCTAATTTCCTCTGGGATGGTTTCCTTTATCTTGCCTTCATCCAAAATGTTCAGTTTGGCATCTGACACATGCTCTGCCGCCTTGCGTTCATTATTAGCAGGCAGAATATGCTTGTTATTTAATCTGGCTAGATGCTGACCTCTCTCCTTGATGTCAGAGATGACAGAATCAGCAGCCTTCCTGTTAGCAGCATCCCTTTTGAATCGCTCAGCATCATAGTGGCCCAGCACTGCTGCATCAACAGTTTTATCTTTCGCCTCAACCGGTTTGGCAGTAAAGTCTTCAGGTTTTTCTACAGCAGCCTGTGGCTCTCTTTGGCCGTCATCACTACTTAAGCGTCCTTGAGGCTGGAAGTCACGTCCTTGTTTCCTTTTAAGAGACAGATCATGCTCAACTTTACGTTTCACGCCTGACCTACTGACCTGTCCTGCTGTTTCGGTTTGGATTTGGAGTGCTTCTGGTCTTTGTTGCTGATTCTCCACTGCTCTCCCCAGATGCTGTTCTGAAGGCCAGTTTGGTGCTCTTATTTCACCAATTGTATTTACTGGCGAATTCTCCTGCTGTGGTCTCCCCACTCCGTTTATCTGTCCGTCATCTCTCCACCCAGTGTTCCTGCTCTCTTCAGCCAAGGACGTAGAAAAGAGTTTCCTTTGTTTCTGCAGTGAGTAGTCATCAAAATCATCCACAATCCCACCTTCAGCTTTCTCCTCATCCTTCATGTCCTCCTCCTCTCCTTCTTGCTCCATCCCTCCATAATTGTACCAATCCTGCCTCTGCCTCAATCTAACCCTATCATCACCTGAAGGAAAGCAAAAAAAAATAAGACTATAAATTAAAAAGACTGCAAAGCAGTTAGCTGAAAATAAGAGTCAAGAGAGCACTGAGCATGAACAGAAAAGGTTCATCTGCCATCAGTGTTTTAAAACAACAGTTTGGCAAAAATCTACTTTACATAATTATCCTGTTACCTTAAATGTCGTTGATCAGCTAAAACATTTCTGATGTCCAAAGTTTGCTGCAGTAGTTTTGGAGTGGAGCTACAAGTCTAATTCACTAGTTTTAAGTATTACTTCTATAAATGCACTCTGAGGAATTAAGGAGCAAGGAGAGAGGAGACTTCCAAAGCGAGGAAACATATGTACATCTTACATGCAAGATTTTGTGGCAGCACCCTCTGTTTTTATTGGATGGTTTCAGTTAATGGGAGGGTACTGTGAAAAGCTGATGATAGTTAATTAAATTGCTGATGTACAAGAATTTCAATAAATAATGTTGATGTGTAAAGTTATTTAATAATATCGTCGCTTACCCAAAACAACATGCATTTCCAAAATATTACCAAGATAAGGCAAAAACTTTCTTAACTTTTAATGGAAGTTAACGTAAAAAGATTTTATTCTGAGTAAATTTAGAGTGTCCATCCATCAGGAAATTTCAGACAATGTAAAGGGCAGTTGCTGTGTTCATGTAATGTTGAAAAATGCTAATGAAGAAGTGTTTTTTTTTTTTTGGACAGCGACAATACATGTGTATATTACTGGCAGAGCTATTAAGCCCTGTAACAGGAGATGAAATTGACAGCTGAGTGAAGGACATCTTTGGCACTGATTCCTCCATCCTTACATCTCATTCATGCTTCTCTCAGAGGGAGGAGCTAAGATGCTAGGAAAGGAAATGAGGATGTATAATCAAAGATATGAAATCTACCTGTGCTTATGTTGTATCTGATACTGTACAACATACTGTTATCTATAAAAAATAGACAATTGCAGACAAAATTCAGGCTCAAAGATCTGTTTTGAGCTATACAATGTTCATTTTTACAGATATAAGTATCCCATGTGTATCAGAATTTGAAGCAAGCATGGGAAGATTCAGGCACACATTTTGTGCCAACTCGTGGGGCATGAGCTTCCATTACTTGTTAGCTGGGTGATTCCATGATTGGGGTGACATTTAGCCCTTGTAATTCTTAAAAACCTTTAATTGTTTTTATAATCTTTCAAGCATTCACCATTCATAATGTGTTAACCTGCATCATGACCAATATCTAATTTTTACAACGTGTCATTACAGACAATGACTTAAATGAGAAACGAGGTTGAGTTTTTAGTATATAATTAGCACATACACAAAATGTGGTCAATTAGCATCCATGCAAATGGCACAAGGACATTAAGGGCATTCCACTGATCTGGGTAACGAGGTTGTACTTTCGAAGAGAAACTGTCAGTCGATATCCCAATACCTTTGAAAATAAATCTGATAAATCTCATCTTTAAGAACTGTGGATAATGCAAATTCCTGTTGAACATATGACTTCTGAAATATTCCAGATATTTCTTAAAGGGGAATGTGCTCAGGAAACAGCGTGAGTGTATGTTGTGGGACACAAAATTCATCTACATTTTGGAAAATATGCCTGATGCAAATATTTTTTTTGGCTAGAATGTTTACTTGGCGAAAGTATGTGGCTGAGCAGTGAGAGCGGCTGAGACAGTGCGTTATTTCAGTACCTCTGTATCTAAAGTCCACATTCTTGTTCCCTGGTTGGTCCAGTTTCATATACATGGAGAAGCCATATCTGTGTAAAAAACATTCATAATTACCAACAACAGATCAATGATGTGGCCTTTTCAAGTACAGAACAAGACCACAACCAAACTGATATACAGGTTTGCAGACTGGATTTTTTTTAATATAGGAATTACAGAGTTGTTTATTTACTTTTATTGCCACATACTGCCCCCTGCTGCATGTAAGCTGAAACAAACACAAAGTGCCTAGATGTTTACAGCAGGGTTCTCTAACTCTCCGGGCCACAAGCAGAGGAATCCTTTCTGAAGCACAGATTCTAAATGATTGATTCCACAGTTGTGTTTACATTTTATTATGATTTGAATTATTTTGTAAAAAGAAAAACTTATTTTTCAGATTTTTGTCATTTTTATTATGAGACACAAAGTGCACTCACAAACCTGCCAATACAGAATGCAAATTGAATGTCAATGTCACTAAATAACTACACATCACTGCAGTCCACAAAAAATTCTCCAAAATGCTAAATTTACAAAAGAAAGCAAATTTGTACTTTAGTTTTAATGTAAGTTAATATAAAGAGATTTTATTCCAAGCAATTCTGGTGTATTTCTAATGGTCCATTCATCATGATATTTTCACATTTCACAGGCAGCTGGGTGGCTGGGGGATTATTTTGTCTTCCTTGGCAGGAATGTATGTGTACTTTCAACTCCCACATGTTTGCATGATTCATAGATGGTACTTGACATAGTCAAGCACGCACTGCAAAGTGGCCTTGGGTGTGCTTCATTACCTCTTTAAGTAGTAGGCTCTCTCCTGATAGAAACACTTGTTATCATTCTCCATGTGAGTAAGGCGAGTGTAGTCATTAGGGTAAACGTACAATAGGCGCACCTGCAATACGTATACAATGTAATCAGACAAATATTTAAACAAAATACCCTGACAAATATCATGAAGTCCAAAAGCAAGACTGGAGTGGACAAAGAGAACGGCAGGTGTGGAGCAACATCGTACTAAAACACACACTTTACACTGCTTTGATTTTTAAGACAAAACACACCTGAAACAACCCTTGCTCCATGACGTTAAACCAACACCTTCAGAGTACACAGAGCAAGTCTTGCAACACAAAAAGCAATATCTGTATCATGAGTTTGCGTGTTTCACTGAATATGTGGTTACAGCACATATACAAGTACTTACAAACTGCAGACCCTGATAGCGGAGCAAAGGGAAGCCTCTGATGATGTAACTGGGTTTATAGGCACATTCTGGCAAAACACCCCATAAATGTGACCGGTCCAGCAATGGAACTATAAAGAAACACACACATACACATACAGAAGATAAATCTTCAGTCTTCTTCTATACAAACTCTTCTTCTGAGACCCTACTTCACTGTTACACAATATAACCTGCATGCATTACAGTATAGAGACAAAAGTATATCCTTTTCTTTGCACATTTACCCACTTGTTTTAAACCTCTTGAATACTGAATTAACTAAGCAACTAATCTGCTAATCAATCAGTTTTGATTATAAAACTTAATGTACTGACTTTAAAAAATAAGAATCGATTACAATTAAGTGTGGAAAAAAGATTGGTGTATTTGTTTTATAGTCTACATTCCACTTCTGTGTATTTTTAAATAAAAATGAAAATAATAATACATTTTAAATAATTCTGAATCATAGCAAAATAATCAAAGTGATTCAAACTTGATCATGGTTAAATGTAGAGAACTCATCAGGCATGGAAAACAGAGTACTCTATTATTAAGTTTTACTATACTATACAAGTGTTTAGAAGGTTTGTAATTTACTCAAGTATTTGAGTATGTTTAAATACTCTTAGGGCCTGTTTATACCTTGCAGCATTTTCACTGATCGACTCATCTGGATTTGTGTTCAAAGACTGATCTTGATCCCATCCAACACAAGTCTAAACAGAATGCGTTTTTGATATTCATTTACAATGAGAGAATAAATGGTTAAACAAAAGATGGAGGATATGCGAGGCCAGAATTATACCCAAACCCAGTGCTTTCTTGCACTCTGGGCTGACGACAGTGTCCAAGCCAAACTAAGGGGGGTGAAAAGTAAAAAAAAGTAATGTGTTGTAAAAGTAATGATGTATGTGTTGATGTGCTGATGTGCTTTTTAAGCGGGAAGGTAAAATGGGTTAAACCGTGGACACATTTTAGTGAAACGTGTAAATGGAATCCAGTTTACAGTTTTCATCCAGTTTTTAAAGTTTATTTAGATTAGAGGTGGGCGATATGGCAAAAATGTAGTATATTGCGATACTTAAAATTTTCATGATACACAATCTGTCATGATATTTATTTTTTGAGACATATGATCAGTTGGAACAGAGAAAAAAAGAACTAGTAGTGCTACATTTTAAAAAATAATATAAAAACTGTGAGCACAATGATTATTATTCAATATTTTGCATAGTGGGTTGCACTAACTCCAGTTAAATAGGACTAATTTTGCTCTCTTTATCATAAAACATGGTTTGATGATGTTTGGTCAGTGTTCTACAAGTATCGACAATGTCCATGATACGTTCAGAAAAGCATATTGTATTGCACTGTGACATAAATCATCATGATAACAATATATATTGTTATATTACCCAGTCCAAATCCAGATACAAACATGTACACGGACATGAAACACACCTTTATTTACAAACAGGCTCTCCAACTTTACCACTTTTAACCGAATCAAAATTTGGCACAGTACCCACACTTTGGGTATAATTTTTTAAGTATAATTATATAGAATTTCTCTGTAGTTATTCCACCTCTGGATTTCATGATCATTTCTTAAAGAATCACATTCAAATCAAGATCAGCCTTTAAATCTACATAATTGATTTTTTTTCCCTCAATAATTAGCTTGTTCTAATTCGTCTATTTTTTGGGGAAGAACATTTGGACAGAAACAAGTGTCACGTTTATTTTAGACTCTAGTAGATGTGAATTTGACTCAAAGTGTACGACTGAGGGTTCTCACTCTGATAAAAGGTGTCACGAGGATCCTCTTTCAGCATGTCTGCCTCATGGGGAGTGGATAGTGCAGCGTCCCGGGACAGAACTACATGGCTGGCAGCAGTCTGAGGAATGTGACTCACATAATTCATCTTTAGGGAAGACTCATCTGACACACACACACACACACACACACACACAAATATACATCAGCCAAATAATCAATGTGTTAACATTTTACAGATTTTTTTTTTTTTATTTGTCTTCACTTTTTTCAGTAACACTTTACTGAAGGGCAGCATTCATAAGGCTACATGACACCTATATAAGCATTTCATGACAACTCACATAAACTCACAAACATTTTTAAAAACTCATTCCTACAAGTGCTAGCTATCATAAAAGCTGCTTCTGTCAATTCTGATGTTATTTCAGGTAGCCGTGGGGCGATAAACGATATTATCGAATATCACGATAATTTCAACCAGTGACGATAATAAGCAAATTATTGTTTTATTTTTTATCGTGCACCCTTGCCATGTGACTTTTTTCTTTTTTTTTTGTTCTTTGTATTTAACTATTGGCTTTGTACAAGCATTCTAATCTATGGTATGTTAAAATTTTAGACCTAAGCTATAACAGAAAAGATGGCATTTAAGTACAGACTACACAAATATAACTAATTAACTACAAATATACGTTTTTAAAACACCACTAGAAAAGATTAGAATGTAGCGTTTCAGTCTGGCAAAGAATGCTGGGTATATGCAAATGAAACACGTTACATGTAACCTTCTCCCTAGACGGTGAAAAATGGATGAGCTTGTACAGATGAAGGGTGTTACCGCGCCAGTTTGGCAATATTTTGGCTTCCAACCAGACGAACATGGAGAATGTTAACAGTGTTACATGCCGTCTATGCAGAAAACTGATCATCGCCAAAGGCAGCAATACTACCAATTTGCAAGCACATCTCAGGATAGATCATCCAACTCAGTATGCTAAACTGGGTCTGGCACAAAGAGAAGGCAGTTCGTCGAATCAATCAACAATCACAAGTGCTTTAACAAAACGTACAAAGTACAAATGTAACAGCGCAAAGAGGCGAGAAAGGGCCGAGAAAGGGGCGAGAGTGCACTACCAGTGTAACCCGTTACACAGTGAAGGGTCGGCTGCCATTCAACACAGGTGAAAAGCCATCATTCGGAGAAATGTTACAGACCTTGAATCCACAGTACGAGCTGCTAAGCTGTAAGTACCTTAGCAAGACAGCGGTGCCTGAGATGTATAATAATGTTGTGTATAAAACAATCAAGGTTGTAAAGACTATAATAATAATAATAATAATAATAATAATAGTTATTATTATTATTATTATTATTATTATTTCTTCTTTAACATAACTTTGTTTTTTCCAGAATTAAGATTCACTGCTATAATTCTCCTTTGCTGTTCCACTGAGATGCAGCAATTCACTTACATAGGCTGCAATAAAATGATCACATGACTGTAACAGATGAAAGGCCCGCTCACTTGGGTTTTCATAAATTCATTTTTTAACACGATAATATTGTTTATCGCGATAACTTCTGGAGACGATAATCGTTTGTCTAAATTTACATTATCGCCCAAGCCTAATTTCAGCTCAATAAGTGTTACGATACTTATCACTTTTTGAGTAAGCCTTTATAAATGTGTATATAGTTTTATGTCAGTTGTCATGAAAGGCTTATGTAGATGTTGTGCAGCCTTATGAATGCCGCTCTACAGTAAAGTCTTATCACTTTTCCCACATCTGTTCATGACATGTCGTGTGCTGGATTAGTGAAAAACTGCAGCGCAGTCAAAATTTTAAAAATAATTCCTTTCCCACATTGACTGCAGTGAAAGAAACCTTGTGTAAAGCTGTGTTAAAGCCCTCCTCTTTAAGCCCCTTGGAGATCAATGCGCTCACATACTGCAGCTAAATATACCACCACACACACACACACACACACACACACACACACACACACCTCTCTCCTTCCAACCCTCTACAGTTCCACACACTCCAACATACACATGTATAAACCATCCCCCTGTTCCACACTTACACCACAATCCCAACATGAGCATGCACACAAGAAACACACCCATACTGCAGGAGCAAGACAAACACACATACACACATTGAAAGACATTCTAACCTATCATTTTAGCTATTTCAGGGTGCCAGCACAGCATGGGGTATGGGCAGGGACGGCTATTCCAGCATTACACATAGAGCTACAGCTGCCCAAAATAACACTTATGCATGCAGATGGACAGACAGACATACAAAACTACAAGTTACTACCAAACTTACTGGTATAAAGAGAGATGGACCGAGAGTCGATAATTACAAACTTTGTCCTGGCCCGATTGAGCCGCCACTGTTGCAAAGAAAAAACAGAAAAAAAACCAAAATATTTTTCAGAAAAGCACACATACATGCACAATCATAGACAATCATGTATACACATAGTATATACAGTACTCACCGCAACCTCAACATGGTCTGTTCCATGATCATTCTGTTTGTGGATCAGCTCAAAGTAATATCTCTTCTGCTGCTGCAGTCTGAGAGGGAGAGAGACAGTCTTCAGTATTACACCACACACCACATACTGAGACAGTCAATGGAGAATAGTGGTCATGTTTTGAGTACAAATGGAATATTGATACTGATGGGTATCAGCAGCAGAGAGAAAAAAGAATGAACCCAGTCCAATCTTGTAACAAATCTGTCCTGAATCAGCTCACGCACACATTATGTGATGTTATGTTGTTAGCTGCATACTTCTTCATGTGGGGTAGCAGACTGTTTGAGTACTCTCTCAGAAATAAAGGTAAGAAGCTGTCTCTGGGGCATTACCCCTCTTGTCACTAGGGTGGTACCCTTAAGGGTACATCTCAGTACCTTTAGTCAGGGAATATAATTGTTCCATAATCCACTGAAATTATATTTTCTAAGTTGTATTGATTCCACACACCCCGTCTCGTCTCCAGGCTTTTAATTTTATTGCTCTGTCTTAAAACATTGGGTTATGAAAAAATACAAATACGTACTTATCCACTGGGAGAAACTCATTTAAGGTACACAATTGGACCTTAAAACCACTGTTGTACCTTTGAGGGTACATTTACATTGTCTGTACCTTGATGAATAAAAAAAATGTATGTGCACTGTACCTTTACTTATAACAGTGTAGTTTGAGCATTATAGTCTCCTTTTAGATTATCATCTTAAAGCTACATTATATAAAGCTACATAAGATATGGGGATCTGGAGACCTGTGTGTAACTGCACACAAAGCGCAGAACAACATTTTTTTAATGTCAGTTGTGCTCTAAACGCCTTCCCTGAGCAGATGAATGATAATGAGCATGTTGAAACATCTTCTCAGGATGTAAGTGACTTATCTACTATTGACATCTCTGACTTTTAAGTGATTATTTCAGGCCTTACAGGTTGACTCACAGTAGCGCAGTGCTTCACGTTGAAGTGATTCAATTAAAATCAGCTCATTTTAAGGCTTAGTGGTTTTTAAAGAAAACATATCGGATCCGTATTGGTACTGGCCAATACTCTGGGTTCTGAAAGAGACTTTGTGCATGTTTCTTTTCCAAAAAACAGACAAATTGGAATAAACTGGCATCGTTATCAGAAAAACAAAGAGGTTTCATGCCATCTCTATTTTTGAGTATTATCTGTGTTTCCTTGCATGGAAATGTATAGAGACTGTTGCAACAAATTAGCTTTCATTTAAAAGCTATAAAGCTGTATCCTGAACTTTTCCTAAGGCAGTCTGTATCAGACTAGTGGTGTGTTTGCACATCCAAACAGAAGCTGTGTGTGCGCCTCTGTGTGTGTACATATGTGCTTCTGTTTGCCTTTTGTGCACTTACAAAGACAAATTATTTCAAAATGTTCTAAATGTCCCCATTAAGTTACATGTGAGAAAACACCATTGTGTTCATGTGTGTGCATGAGTCGTTACATGCAGTGGGTTTAAGTTTATCTGCTGCAACGTTCATTCTCTGATCTTGCTGTCAGTTCCGCAAGCCAAACCACTAGCCATCTAAATTACTCAGTCATTTCTCTTCCCTTCATCTCTGCCTCTCAAAGACTCTCTCTGATCACTCATTCCTACTCTGAGCTGCCCATTAACTTACACAAATCTAGACTCTAGAACGTATATCTAAACATACACACTTGTGCAAAAAATAAATAAATAAATAAATAAAATAAATGAATTTAAAAAATGGACCAAGCCTGAAATATAATGATTTTTACTGATGGTAAAAATGTTTTTTGGCCTGGTCAGAGTCCAGATTTAAACCCTATAGAAAACATCTGGTCTTACATAAAACACAAAGCAGCTTGGCAATGTTTTTCAACTGTTTGAAACCATCAGTGCTGAGTGAAACAATAGTGACTCTTTCTGTAAAAGGTTGTCTGCAGGTTCACCCACAAGACTTTATCATTTAAAGAAACCAGAGAGAAAAAATATCTACCATACTTTACCTATTTGTTTAATGATTTGTTGTTAAGACCAGGCTTAATGTTCTCTATTTTTACTTCAAATTCTAAAGTATTTTAATACCAAACCAAAATGTCTTTATCAAGTCTAAAAATAACATCTGTAAGGTTTTATGTTAGTGAGTCGTTAATGATTTGAGAGTTAATATGCTGATAAGAACAATGGGTCAACTCTGACACTCTAAATCACAAGTAGACCTGAAACTAGACTGCCCTTCCTGGAAATGCATCAAAGTAGTTTATCACATTTTACATGCAGGACTTTGTCTCATGAATGCATAAGGTTCATTATGTGAACTGTGTTTCACCCAGTTTGATTCTCAGTCTCCATTAGATTTTCTTATGTATACTGCTACTGGGTCAAATTTTCACCATGGGGTCAACGTGCACAGCTATAGATAGCAGCAGATGATGCCAGTGTTGTAATTCATCCTGAAAATAATCTATCCAGCATTGTAACCTGAACGAGTAGTAACACCCTGCAACAAACTCATACTACTTACTGTTACTAGTAAACAAAAAGGTAAATGATTGACTCTACTGGGAAATCTACTTTTGCAGATTAAATCTGAATTTACAAATCTTTGTGTAATCCTGGACTTGACCTGAACTCATACATTAGGTCAATAAAAATGTTTTTCATTTTTTACTAAGCCATCATGGTTGACGTACCATGGCCAATACTAACAAGCCTTGCAGTGCATACTTTACTGAAGGCTTTAATTTTTTCTTGTATTCTAGTATAAAATATTCATATTTTAAATACTACTACTACTACAACTAATAATAAATGTTATTACTTGTTTATTTTTGATCCTTTGTGCCATCCTGATTTACCATTCACATCTCATTTGATTCTAAAATTCTCTCTGATCATTTTTCAAATCTGCCATCATACCATCAATCTTTCTCCAAAACGCACAGATCATCCAGTCTGTTTTAATATTATACAGTGCCTGTCAAAATAAACACAGTAGCTTTTCAAAATGTTTTGCATGTAAATGGGCATGTTTTCTTTTATAGTTTGCAGTAATATTTAATATGCAGTAAATTATAATAATAAAGACTACAGGTTTATTTTAAGGGGAACACCATGTAAAAATCTGTGCTAGTACCTCTGACTGTACTATATTGGGAATAATGTCAAACCCCACATATTTTATCCTGTGATGTTAGCACTCAACAGTTGTTGTGCTATTGTGGTGTCAGCACTCAACAGCACTCTTTCTGTAGGCCCTGTAGTGGAAATTAATATAATCAAATAAACATTTTCCTTAAATCAGATTACTTTTACACTGATCTCTCTCTCTCTCTGTGAAATGTTGTGACTGTGTTGAGCTGTTAGTGAGCAATGAGAAGCAAAAGGGAAAGGACACCCTTGACGTGAAAACAATTCACACCTCTCCACAAAGATGGCCGTGCCAAGACCAAATGGTTAGCACTTCCCCGATAACATGAAATCGTGTACCACAACCATATAAATGAGGATTTGCTTAATCACCTACAGAGATAAAAATTAAGTTTGCTTCTGGTTTTGCAAAACATACACATTTCCATTGTACAAATATGTTCCATCAATGTTATTGTACAAACAAAATGCATAGTTCAACAGAGGGAGCTCCAAAACAGGCATTTTAATGCTACAGTGAAGAACAGCTAAACCATATTTGGGTTAACATAACACTTACAGGTATTTTAAAATGTGATAGAGCCCTCAAACCTTTGCTGGGCAGTGTAGATCATGTTTTTGAGGGTTAACACACTTCATAACAGTTATAATTAATCTTGGGAGTGTGCCTCAGCAAGCCCTGTAATATGATCAGCACACAGACACTTACAGATACATATACATGCACAGAGACACTCCCATAAGCTATAAATAATCTCACCTCTTTGGGTCAATAAAGTAAGCTGTGGTCTGTTCATAACGTGTGTCACGTTATGTTAATGCGTTATTTATGATTTCATATGTTCACGCACTCATACTTACAGGACTGGCTGAGATATCTGGCTAGGATATTTCCCATATTCCCCTGGCGCAGTCCATTCTTTACCAGTCTGAAAATCAAAGACAGCACACAACCCTTTTATGTCTGGATATAAATATTGTACTGGCATTGAATATGTACATTCACAGTGATTTTAGAGCACTCCCCCAGTGCACACAGACCTTGCCAACGTAGGCAGAGAGTTTCAGGTTGTCCGGGTTTTCATCATGACTAAGCCAGAACTCACAGTTATCATCAGAAGCCACTGCAAAAAGAAACTCACCTGAAAAAAACAAACAAAACAGTTAAAAGGGCAGTCCAGACAACAACAGATGCTTGTGCCTAACAGTGTCTCACTGACCATCAGTATATGGGTGGATGTAGCCAAACATCCTGAGGCCATAGTTAGTCCAACTGGGAGACACAGCCAGTTTCTTCACTGTGATACGTGACTACAAGAGCAGAGGGAAAGCAAAGGAAGGTGGTGGATGAGTTGAAGGTCCAAGTTTGAATGACCCTATATTTCTGTAGCCTTGCAAACGTGCACTTACGTGAGGGTAAAGGGGATAATGCAGGTTTTTTCTGAGTTTTGCGATGGTGCTGCCACACCAGTCTTCAAATACATGAAGATTAGCCTCTCCTTTATACTGAAACAAAGACAATAGAATCCGTCAGCATACATCAATGTATGGCAAGCGTCCTGTCACCACAGCTGCTGATCCTTTCAGAACTGTGTTTACTCCTAAACCTAATGAGAGGTTGAGCTTCCAATGGGATTGCTTTTGCTGCCAACATGCCATTAAAAATTTAAAAAGTCCAGACATCACACGTAGCACAGTGTGCTGGAGATGCATTTTCCCTCCAGCATTTCAATAGCTCTGATGATGAAAATAATCAGGTGAGCACATTAACATGTGTTTACATTAGTTTGTTTGCTCTCTGGTAAGTATCTCCACAAGATCCTGTCCTCCTTAGTTACTTTCAAGGTGGGGAAGGTTCACTTTCAAAAGGTATTACATTGCAGACTGATTTCCTGATTGTCTGTTACAGTACCTGACCCATACTAATGACCTAATTAGCAACCTAATCTAGTATAACTCAAGTGCTATCCAGTATACTTTTACTTCTTAGACTGCTTTCATTTAAAAGCCTCACGTTAAAGTGAAAAAAAACAAAGGGTTGCTTCATTTTTGTCAGAGGACTTGCAAAGTGGACATTTCCAGGGCTAGAAAATATACACACCATATTTGATACTATTGTCAAATATTACTACATGAATGCTTTATTTAACATGGTTAAAGCCAGCATTATTTTGACACATCATTTACATGTGTGGGATCATGGGATCATGAATCAATGCTTTGATCGGTCAAAAAAAAAATCCAACAGCTTTATTTGCATATTTCAGCATTCTGTGATATCAGTACTGCAAAGGCCTATACTGCCATAATGATTAACAAACTGAACAGCCCTGATAGTCAGTCCACAGCCTTTAGAGTTTGGTATATTTTTTTTGGTCTACCTCAGACCTCCAGAGCTGAGGAGTGTATTTGGACATCCAGCTCTTGTCCTCTTCATAAACTTCAGATCCGTCTCTGAGAACCTATGCAAGACAGACTCAAGTTCAGCCTCAACCTTTTTCAGTAAACCATGACTCGTATGCTAATACCTGAGGCCCAGCAGGGGCCTAATCAGATAAATGTTTTACTATTCAGCAGGACAAGGGCAGGCACTATATCCTACTGAGGATTTAAGAACAGGATCCTTCATGTATGCAGTTGTTAAACCTGCGTGTCATGTAATGAGTATGGCATGTGTATCGTATTTGAGCAGAGACTAAATGTGCCTCAACTCCCCTAAATGTGATTGCCCTTACAAACCACGGCTGGAGAGCTTGCATATGTGTGTGTGTGTGTGTGTGGTCTCTGCACTGTGCAAAAAGTGTAATTGCTAATGCTGCTATAATGACCATTTTCTCAGCTGTAATAGTGATGGGTGTGCTTTATTACACCATCTAAAAATGACTCACCTGCGAATGACCCAAACAAGATCAAGTTGTAAACATTTCATGCACTGTTGTATATTACCTCATACTGGCACAGCCCAAACTTTAATGATTTGTATAAGCGAAGCAGCTCAAGGGCTGCATGACTGCCTGACCCACCCAAGCTAACTGCCAGTTGATCACGTTTCGTTTTAAGGAATACATATTAGAGGTTTATAAAGGTCCTGTTCTTTGTTAACAAAGGCCAGAGCAGACATTTATAAACGGATTATTCACTACGCATTAAAAGGAAATTCCACTGATTTTTCAAAAAGTTTACATTGTTTACATCTTAATGTCTGAATTAAGTCATTCAGAGTGCTTTGATGTGAAATGCAACACTACAGAGGAGCTTACCAGGTCAGAAGTGTTCACAGTGATGGTGACATTTGAAGGGTTTAGTGCCTCTCACAGACAGTTACTTCATGAAATAGGTAACATATTTTTTAAATACAATCATGATGGAGAGGTACACGCAGGGCACAAAGATACAAAACCTTGTTTTTTTTTTTGTTCAAATTTACCACTATTTTATCATTTTCAACATTACATATAAACACTCAGAAGGCATGTGTTGGTTCACTAGTCATTATGGGTAGTACATTAAAGGGCTATATTTGTATTGTAGACATTGCAACCTATAGTTGTTAAATTTCTCCACAATGCACCATTTCACATCAAACCACTTGGAATGACTTTGTTCACATCTCAACGACTGAATTGCGGAGAAATTTGAAAAAGATGGTGGAATTTCCAATTAAGCATTTTTCATTATGACCTATATTAGTACATAATTGGAAGTTTGTTATGTAAAAATCTGTAACAATTGCATTATTAGCTGTAATAATGCACTATAAACACTTTGTTAGACTTTATTATGCAAACTATTGAACATAAATTAATCACCTAAATTCAGATCTTGTTAATGTAAAATTGGCAACATTCTTATAGGTGCTAAGTAGAGTCAGATGACTTCTGGAATTTATTGCATTAGAGCTAATAATGATTTAATAAGTCAGAAACGCTTGAAGATCTGTTCCATATTAGAGGTCTGCACTCCCGTGGATTCCCGCAGGACCCGCCACAGCTGTCGAGCCCAGCAAAACAACAAAAATAACCGCTCTGTGGATTAATTCCTGCTTTGTCTTTACTGGGAATTAATTGCGTTTGGTGAATTTACTTCACAGTGAGCCTGATGACCATGACTGGTGTGTTATTTCAGCAGTGAATAATGTAATTGCGAACAGACTGTCAGTTATTGGAGATTTTCAGCGGGATCAGGATGAAATCTTGCAGGAGCGGGAGTGAATAAACAGTTCTGCATGGACCTCTATTCCATATTCTAAAGTTGTATTCATCACCAACAGTTAAAAAGTGTTAAACAAGTTCTCAATAAGGCAGTATGTGTTCCTTAAAAGAAAATGTTAACGACGATTCTGTTATGTCAGCTAACAGGTGCTCCTTAGCTTCATGATGTGGGAGAGGAAAGGTAATTCTATCCATGCAGAGAGAGTGAAACCAGTTATTCTCTGTTAGTCAAGAATGGTTGTGGCATGCCCGGGAACTGAACTTGCAATCTTCCAGAAATAGGGCAAATGATTAGCACTAAATTCTTTGTTATCCTCCTTGAAACTGTATAGACCCTTACACTTTAATTCCTCACACTTACAACTACATAACTTGCATATTAGTTTCACAGTAGTTACTGATTAATAAGTCTGAAGATTAATAACTCAATAAGCCTCAATGTCACGGGGTTACTGAGTGTGAAAGTAGTAGTAGTTCAGCACTTAAATTACAGGCTTTGATATATCTGTTCTCTCTTATGTGGTACAGTACTGTGCAAAAGTCAGAGACCACTGTTCATGTATTCAATTTCCAGTCAAATTACTTTGAATTAAAAGTTATTAATTTTTCAGGAGATATGTCTGAGGAGATTAGATATAAGATACTTGCATAAGGAAGGCGAAAACAAATGAAAACAAGTGGAAAAACAGGAGTTTCCAAATCTGGAGTTTAAAAAAAAAAATTATTAAAACATACCGAGAAACTGGTCCTAACAACTGTGCAAGACCTGGACCACCAAAACTGTCACCATCAGGTAAACAGTACTTCAATCTTTCATCTTTGAAAGAGAGGAAAAAAATCCAGCTCTACACTATTAATCTGAAAGGATGTGTAGCTGTCAAGAAGCTGTTACCAAGAAAAGGAAATAGACAAAAAAAAAGAACATCTGTAAATCAAACAAAGAATTTGCTGGTGTTCTCAGAACAATGGACGGACCACCCCATAGTCCAGACCTCAATATCACTGAGTGTTTGTGATTGCTTGGATTGTGAGAAGCAGAAAATGCAACCAACTTCTAAGACTGAACTTTCAAGGTGTCGAAAAATGTCCCTGCAGATTTCTTTGAAACACTGAAAACAAGTCTCCTGAAAAGAATGGAAGCTGTAATAAAGGCAAAAAATGAACACACTAAATACTAAAAAGTTGCCATTATATTTAGTCATTGAGGCTTTTGAGTAATTTTTTGTTAAATACAGATTTTTTTTCCATGATGATTTGCTTGTATGTGTGAGTTTTCACATCTCTACTCACAGCTGGTTTTACGTAGGCTGTCTGGTCCTTCTGGAGGCCATCATCTGAAGAGAAAGAGACCAAAAACATTACATTTTAAACAGAGTGCTTTGTATTATCTAGTAACTGTCATTCTTCAAACCTCTCACCGTCACCTGAACCGTGTTGCGTGTGAATGCAAGAAAAAGAAAGAGAGAGACAGACATCAGTGACAGAAGCATTTGATTACTACTGATAGTGTAAGCTTTCTCCAGATGGATTGAAACTGTTTACATTTGGAAATGAAACTTCAACAGAAGGCATGGCATTATTACCATCTGCAGAATGACATGCTAGCCAAAGCGTTACAGGGTCAATCTGTCTCCATTACCTATTTAACACTTAAACTGCATCTTTTCCTTAGTGGTAGAAACTAAAACATTCACTTCAAAGGCGTCACACTGCCCTTGCCAATAGGACACATACTCGCAAAGCAGATTTAAAAGGGAGAGTTGTAGTTTATTTATATTTAATTTGTGTCTGTGTGCATTAGAGCAGTGGTAACAGTACACTCACTCTCACTGCAATACAAGCCCATCAATGTGAATGTTTTAAGAGAAGGGAGTGTACCAAAAAAAGAAAGAAAGCTGGTGATCTTATCAAACACAGCTTCTCTCACCACATATATTCTTGTTTGCTAGCCATTATCCATCTAAAACCCTGTGTTGTGTGCGAGTCTGGAGGGTAAACAAAGAAAATGGACCTTCACCGATCACCACGCCCAGGAGACCAACTGGCCAGCATGTGTGTGGGTGTGTGTTAAAGTGGGTGGAGAGAGACAATGAGGGTCATTCAAAGTTTCAGAGCTGTCAAGACAAGGCAGGCTTACACAACACACATACCACAGTATTCTCTTTATATGCAGCCTCGCTTATTTCCATAACTATTGACTACATCCTGCTCTGCTCTATTTGTGTAATATTACAGCATGCAAAGTATGTGTTCATACATGCAAAACCATGTACATGCGTGTGAATTATAATGTCTGATGGACTAATGTACCACAGAACTAAGATTACATAACCTGAGCAAATGTGCGGCCTCACCAACATTTGACTTCACTGCAATTGTTTTAAATGATTCAACGAATCCTAAAATCTCAAATTTCAAGTTTTACTACCATGATTCAATTATTTTGGTATAATCTGGAATTATTTAGAAGAAATACTCAAATTACACAAATATGACATTTATTTCCATAAATAGCAATGCAACTATCTACACAATAGTCTAACTATTTATACAGTAGTGAATACAGACAATAAAACGCAATTAGCAAGCTTACACAGTTTTACATTTAAAAATAGATCAACTTTTTTTTTAAGATTTCTTTTTTTACATTCCTAACAGCTATTTATGGCTGCTTCTGATTTCTTTGCAGCCAAATTGGCCAATGACCACTTTTTTTGGCGCAGTACTTCATTTTATTTATTTAGTACTGAGAAAAGGAAATAGCCATAAAAAAAGAATGTTTGCAAATCAATCTAAGAAGCTGCTGATGTTCTCAGAACAATGGACTGACCACCCCAGAGCCCAGACCTCAACATCATATTTTTGTATTTGGGATTACTTGGTTTGTGAGAAAGAGAAAACGCAACCAACTTCCAAAACCCACGCTTATTTCTTCCACACCTAAGACCGAACAAAAAAGTGGAAAAATATCCCTGCAATTTTATTTGAAAAAACAAAAACAAGCCTTACAAAAATAATAGAAGCTCTAATAAATGCAGAAAAAAAAACTGTCAGAATTTATTTTTACACCCCTAAAGCCTACACAACGTTAGTTTTATGGCAGATTCCACCTTTTTCACAGCCAAACTGGCCAATGGAAATGCACCCTCAGCCCGAAATACACAGGTGCGGAACATCTGGGGTAGACAGGGGTGGGGTGTGTGTCATCAGGTGTGTTTGCACATTTGCCAGTGTGTGAAACTGACTGTGTTACTAATGACTAATGACTAATGACGAGAGAGAGAGAGAGAGAGAGAGAGAGAGAGAGAGAGAGAGAGAGAGAGAGAGAGTGTTGTTTGTAAATGCATTAGTATATTTGATGTGGACAGCCCCCGTCTTTCTCGCCCCCCATTCCGCCTCACCGTATATGAAAAGCTGGTCCCCTGTGGAATGTAAAAAAACAGGCAGAAGCACTACCACTATCCAGGTCAACACACAGATAGAATGATTTATGATGATGGATGATAGATACGGCTTAAACAAGTGAAACAATGCATCATGGGCTTAATGATATACCACAAATGAAATCCAATGATAATTATACTGTTTCAAAACTGTTCAAGAAATTTGTTTTTTAACTTAAAAAAAAAAACTGAGCTCATTAAACTTCAACTAATAAATCAACAGAAAGGAAGATATAGATTGTTGTTCTGTTAACTTACTATTAGAACTTCAATTTACTTCAATTTTTAAGGCAGCCTAGTTCCAAACTTTTTAAGGTTAAAATAACGAATCTTTTTCTCTACACCTGTAGTCGTCTGCAGAGCATGCAAAGCACATGCCAGGACAACACATGTTTACATAATACCAACAGAAAATAGTAGCAGTACTGGTGATAATTCTATATTTTTGTTAAGGGGAACACCACTGACATCTCAAAATTTCTGTAAAATTCAATAGTTAAGATGTAATCAAAGTCATTCAGAGAGGTCAGAATCAGAACTGTTCACAGTGGTGGCGGTTGGAAACAGGCATCAAATGTGTTTATTGTTCCTAAAAGCTCCTTCACAGACAGTTATTACATGAAATGGTTACATAAATAAAATGTTGTCTGATGCCTGAAACACTGTTTTGTGGTAAGTTTTGCAATAAGATTTTAGGCCAAAACATATTTTTAAAAAGCTCTTCATGGCAGAAAAGTACATGTAAGGCCAAACCATCTTGAAAGAAATCTAGTTTTTCTGATTTTCCACTATTCTACCATAAACAACAATACATATAAACAGTCAGAAGACGTGCGACTCACTGGTGGTTTTGTATAGTGAATAAAATGGCTATAATTTCTGTAAAAAGGTCTGAAGTAAAAAAGTTTCTTTATAAATCAGCATTTCACATTAAAACACAAAACTGAAAGACCTTGTTTACACTGCAACAATTGAATTACATAGACATGCTGAAAAACTGGTGGAATTCCTCCCTTTTGCATTATAGTGGGAAGTGAGATGTCTATCAGTATAAATTCTAAGGCAAAATTATTTTACCATGTGTTGGTGATTTTTAAATATTTTCAGCGTATTTGAACAATACCACAATAACACCAAAAAACATATTAATTTTGGTTACTGCTGTCATGACAGAAAATTTTCATACCACCCTATCATCCTTACCAAGCACTTTGTTAGTCTGGCTCTCCTAGACTCACAAGAGGAGAGTCAGGGATCACGAGAACATGCTGATTCACATCAAGATGTAAAGAGCAACCTGTTAAGGTTACAGACAGAATCCAAAACAGATCTTTGAAGCCCATGTGTCAAACACAGGGCCCATGGCACAATCCTATCTGGCCCACCAAATTAATTTATTTTTTTATTAATATTAGCCCCTTTCACAATGCAAAGCACTCTAATCCCCAGCAACAAGGTATGGGACAGCGTTATCTGTATTTAACACACACACACACACACACACACACACACACATTATACATATATATACACACACACATATACACACACACACACACACACACACACACACACACACACACACACATACATACATATAAGAAATGGCCCGTATTTACTTAAAAAAAGGTCTGGTTCCATTGATCTACATTAAAAGTAGAGTATGTTTTTTCCTTCTCCTGTAAAGTTACCATTTTGGTGATGGTGGTGTGTTAGTGTGTGTTGTGCTGGTACGAGTGGATCAGACACAGCAGTGCTGCTGGAGTTTTTAAACACTGTGCCCACTCACTGTCCACTCTATTAGACACTCCTACCTTGTCAGTCCACCCTGTATATGTAAAGTCAGAGACGATAGCTCATCTGCTGCTGCACCGTTTGTGTTGGTCTTCCTCTAGTCCTTCATCAGTGGTCACAGGATGCTGCCCACAGGACGCTGTTGGCTGGATATTTTTGGTTGGTGGACTATTCTCAGTCCAGCAGTGACGGTGAGTGTTTAAAAGCTCCAGCAGTACTGCTGTGTCTGATCCACTCAGACCAGCGCAACACACACCACCACCACATCAGTGTTACTGCAGTGCTGAGAATGATCCACCACCCAAATAATATCTGCTCTGTGAGGGTCCATGGGGGTCCTGACCACTGAAGAACAGGGTAAAAGGGGGCTAACAAAGTGTGCAGAGAAACAGATGGACTACAGTCTGTAATAGTAGAACTACAAAGTGCACCTATATAGTAAGTGGAGCTGACAAAATGGACAATGAGCGTACAAACAAGGAGGTGGTCATAATGTTATGCCTGATCGGTGTATATAAAATGTGTGTGCGTGCGCGCATGTGTGTGTGTGTGTGTAAAACAAGTGCCTATATTTTGAATAAACCAATGGCCAATTTGGGTCCGAACACAATGTAAATTAAAAATGAAATAAAAATATAGATGTTCTCTGACACACAGATTTGTTGAGATTTTTTACTACGACACTTTTAGGGGTTGAGTTTGACAGCCCTCCTTTAAAGCACACCTGTGTTCTTAAGCACAACATTGTTCAGTTCAGTCTATACTAAAACAGCCATTAGTTTTGTGGAACTGATATTTACATTGCATCACTCTAGGAGCCACAAACCCAGGATTCAAAAGAAACATAAAGCACTACGCGACTCTTTGAAGTGTAGAAGAGTGTAATGAGCTCAGAAGAACTGTCTTTTACTCCTCCTTCTACCCCTTGATGAGCTTCTCTTTAAAGAATGTTAAAAGGAGCCTTCACCCAACATTGCCTACACAAAACTGGTCAATACAGCCCTGGGTCTTTTCTTCTTGCAGAATGGCGTACTTTTCCACCAGATATTGTTGAAAGGCGTCTAACAGCATTCCAGGAGGTGTGAAAGTCTCTCTGTATACAAAAGGCTGCAAGATTACTGTTTACATATTTTTTTCTAGTCTTTGCACGTACTCCATCTAAGACCCCCTTTAAACCTCACAAAGGTTTTGCAAGATCTTTGCTGAAATAGCTGAAATACATTTAAACTATTTTTTTATCACACAAAATAATAAAAACAGAACAGAATAATACTGTATATCGACAATATGTGAAAACATCGCCAAATGTTTCACATCCGAAATTCTGAAGTTCTTTGTCGCTTAGGTGTGTCCTACACGTCTTTCATGCTCATTAGCAGATGGGAGCAAGCCCCAAGAGCCCCCACTGTCTGACAGAGAGGCAGCACCACAGGCGGTCTGAGAAGAAGCAGGTTGGTGTCCAAGCGTATCCTGTTGGTGTCCTCGTATAACTTGAAGAGAATGGCTGTTCCTTCATTATATCTCTTGAAAATTGACTCCCTCGGTAACAAAGTGAACAAATACTACTGCAACTCACTACACAGCAGGAGATGTAGGATTGCTGAAACAACTCCAATCAGCCAAAAAAGCTGACGTAAGCACATTTTACACTGTAGGTATGCTGCATTCTCTGCACCTACTTGTGGCCTACAGGTAAAAGCTTATGAAAAGACTTATACTTTAAGAAGAATTTCAACTAGTATACCAGATAAACTGGTATATCGCCTCACTACTACCAGCACAGGATAGAAAAAGTACAGAGAAACTGTACTTCAGTCAAAGAATGCGTACTGCACCAAAAGGTCACTCAATTTAAATACAAGTTTAATGTACCAGAACCTCAACTGACTGGCAAGAAAAAAAAAACTAAAAAGGGCTAAAAGAACATGTAAGGAGTAAAAAGTATTTAATTTCTTCAATACATCTTCAATAATAAAACTAGCTTTATTGCATTTTCTATCCTGTTTCCTACATACATGTGTTTGGTTTTCAAAGCAATTATTTGGGGAAAAGTGCCTAAATGTTTTTTTAAAAGGTGTCCATTTTCCTTTGAAGCAAAAACTGTCAAGTGATCAGTCAGTTCTTAGAAACAAAATGCACAAGCACACATATCGCAGACAAATATTTACAGTTTACACATTTAATTAAATAAGAAATGATAAATACTTCTCACAGTTCAGTGAGGGTTGACTACAACACTCACCATGCAGAAGGTAGAGCAATTTGAAAAAATACTGCAATTTACAAAGCACAAAGCTCATAAAGCCTCCTTAAACACCAAAAAGAAAATCTGTAAAGCCTGAAGCAGGTCAGTTGTGTCTGCTGCAGTAAAGGACTGATTCCTTCCTTCAGCTTGATTGTGGACTGGTTCATTTCGGATCATGGTCACAAAACTCCTTGAAGGTCTTCAAACGTTCATTTTGAGAAGCACCAGAAGTTTTTTTTGGAAAACTAGCCTTATTAACACGCAGTATCCTATTGTGTTTGCATTAACAGTTATGCATCAGATCCAGAAAAGGATTTCCTCTCTTTTTCTTTCAAGCCAAAACGTAATGTAAAAAATGATGGAAGGGTTTCATACCCCAATAATATCTTAACATTTCTTTCTTTATTTAATTTGTACATAATCAAGGATTATTGGCTCATATGATGCTTACATCAGTGGACTGTCCCAACTATTAAGAGCCATCTCAATCTTAGTGGTCTAAGACCCCACAAGGCCCGTGACAGTCAGAGGCCCCTGGGCGCTGACACCAATGGCCCTTCCCTGCTTTCCGTACCTAACACATACTGTACATACACACACTCTCACAGATGACAGCTGACAGAATAAACACACAGAACAAAGTCTTCGAATAAACAGTATGCAGACAGTAGAGAGGCAAGCCACAGCATGAAGGGAAGAAAACGGATACAAACAACCAAACAAGTGAACAACCAAAAACCCTTGGTTGAATCAACAATTATAAAGTACAGTGTTCACTAGCTGTTCTCTGTAACTAACTCAAACATGACATCAGTGCCTGAGGACTCCACTGCAACAAGAGACATTAACCAGATACCAGAACACAAACTTATAAAGGAAATTAATAACTTCATTCACTTTTAGGGATAATAGTGTGACTCACCAGAACTGTCATAGTCACTGTGCATGTGACAGAAATGCTTGCGCGCCGTTTCAGTAGTGAGCTCAACAGAACATGCTGTGTTTAAATAAACACTTGCACTGATCTGAGGCATTGGAATACTTCCCTTTGTTGGATTGACACATTCCAGTTATTCCACAATAATTGGAATGGGTCAATATTTACTCTTTCTGCTGTTTGCTTTTCAACTGAATCATGGAAGTGAAAATCATAATCCCAAATAAAATGCCAGTGGAACTGCACAGAATTTAAAAACTGCATAGTTCAATCACTGAGATGTAAACAAAGTCATTCAGAGTGGTTTGATGTAAAACAGTTCTTTTTAAAGAAACTTACTAACACAAAGTTCCTTGTGGTGACAGCATCAGGGGTTGTGATCTTTACAATGCAAACATATCCTTTCGCTGTTGTCGGTACAAAACCTTGTATCTCCACCTTTGTCATTTTTCAGTTTTTGACACAGTTTGAAAATGCCTGTTGTCCTTTACATTTTCTGTATGAACGGAGCAAAATAAACAGTCCAAAATTATTTAGAAAAAAATCTGGTTTCATTTACTTACATTATGTAATGTAAGTAATGTAGTTTTTTCTTCTCCAGTAAAGTTTCCAATTTGGAGATATGAGGTTTTATTCCAACAACAGTGCATTTTATCTATTATTCAAAGTGACCACTGAACCTACTGGTGTACTAAATTGTTAAATTCTAAACCACTTCTTGTAAAAACTTTCTGTGAGGTGGCTTTTAGAGGTATCAAACAGTTTGGATGTCTGGTTCCATTCGACACCACTGTGAACAATTCTGACTCAGCAAGAGGGAGCATTTCACATCAAAGCACTCTACAAGGCTCAGTTTACATCTTAAACATTTATTTTTTTGGAAACTGTGGACTGTGAGCAATGCTGACCTGGGCAAAACTACACTGTTAAAAAAATGGTTCTTCAAGCATTCTTCAGTAAAGAAAAATGAGTGAAATTCCCCTTTAATCATGCCTCAAAAAACACTGAAGCCAGCAACTTAAAGCTAGACAGACTGACAAAGCATTAGCATTAGCAGGTGGTAAGGCTGGTTGGACCAGACTGGGGGAAGCTGATTCCAGCTACCAGTCACGCCTCAACTCATGCCTCTCATGTTACGGTTACACACACACACACACACACTCAGAGATAAACATCTCGCCTATCTGACATCTGAATCAGTACAAACGTAAGGAGTAAAAAGTATGTTGTTTTTCTCTTAGGAATGTAATTGAGCACAGTTGTACTTAACTAATACTTAAGTACAAATCTTTGTTAATAATACTTAAGAGTAGTAATGCATTAGTGCACTAGCTTTATTGTATTTTCCATCCTGTTTCTTACACACCTGCAATTAGTTTTAAGCAATTATTAGGAAAAAATGCTTTTTTTATACACGTATGTCTGTTTTTCTTTGAAGCGAAAACTGTCAAGTGATCAGTCAGTTCTGAGAAACAAACACACAAGCACACATATCACATTCAAATATTTACAGTTTAAATATTTAATCAAAGAAAGGATAAACACATTTTAAAGCTCAGTGAAGATGTGGCTAGAATACTCAACATGCAGAACGCAGAGCAATTTGGAAAAATACTGCAATTTACAAAATAGCAATGCTCATAAAAGCTCTTTAAACATAAAAAAAAGAAAATCTGCAAAGCCCGAAAGAAGTCAGTTGTATCTGCTGCAGTAAAAGCACTGAATGAATGCTTTAGCCTGAATGTGGACTGGTTCAGTTCACCAGTGAAATCAGTGAAGTTTTTTTTTTTTTTTTACATGTTTTGACAATACTGGCCTAGTTCTATAACTTAGGCCATGCTTGTTCTACTTTGATCGTAACAGGCACTAGTAAAATATAAAATGTATAAAAAAGGCAAAAACACTGCAATCCCTTGAAAGTGAGCACTGCGAGAAAATGCACGTCAGAATCGAACTGTATGAGCACTAGCTGTTAAGACTGCTGTAGTAATACTGCTGCCACAGTGGTCCTGCTCAATGCAGATATGAGCACACTTCTCAATCACACTGGGCAAAGTATTCACACATTCAGACTCTTACTCAGTGCTCATGCGCAGAGATGAGTTCAAGATAAGCTACGTGATTAACATTCATCTCAAGTTCACAAGTAAAGAAGCAAGAATCGTGCTGATCCGAATCACTACTGTACTATCAGTGTTTACCTGCTGTCTCACGTCAGCCTTTTCTCTGGATATGTGAAGACAGATCTGTTAGTCAGCTAGCCTGCCACTCTGGGCGTGGTACCGAGAAACCCACCTGTGGGCTAAACTCTGGGACTCTGGAAACAAGTCAGCCTTCAGCCTTCTAACCCCTGATTACTTTCGCCGCGTAAACAGTGCTATCCGACTCTTAGCGCTGAAACACTGTTAAAACCATTTAAACAGTATTAAACCGCGTGTTAGGTACATGTGTTCAGTGTTCAGTGTAAAGTTAGCACTAAAGAGCTGAACTTACGGACGCTGCTCCATGTGCTCTTGGCAACAAACTCCAGATAGGCAGCGAAAGCCGCGACTAGCAGCACGGCCCCGAACAGAAGGTATCCTCCATTCCGCCGGAGTTTCCTCAGGGGGAAGAAGGGCAGCAGCAGCATCCTGAGTCCGCTCTGCTCCCGCGGGGAAGTCAGGAACTGTCACGTACACGCAAAGCGGCTTCCATCAACGCGGCCACAAACGTGTCTGCCTCCCGCAGGGAACCGCCGCATCCTGTGGCCAAACCACGACTGGGTGGAGGTGGAGACCCGCTAGCGAGCGCAGGAGGCGCCACGGTGTGGCTACAGCTTTGATTTACAGGTTGGCAACGCCCTCTGGAGCGACGTCACTCCTCACGTCCAGGTAGTTAAAGGAGTAGTCCAACGTTTGTAAGTTTATCGGTGATTGTGGGTGAATGTGAAATCTTACATTTTCCTCTTTCATTTATTGTCCCTGCCGTCCACGTATGACGTTTGTGTGGCTTTATGTACCAAAAACAATCGTAGTTCAGTTTCATCATTAAGTTTTTAATCCTTTCCCAGCAAACATGCCCCCACTGGCCTATTGTGGACTGACTGTGCAAAGCCCCACAAAGCTTGCACCCAGACTCGCACCACCATTGCAGAACGTGGTCCACTGGACTGTGCAAAGCCCCACAAAGCCTGCACCCAGAGCCACACCACCACTGTAGAACGCACCCCACTGGACTGACTGTGGGCAATGCCGACCAGGGCAAAACTGCACGCTTAAAAAGATGGTTCTTCCAGGGTTCTTTAGTAAAGAAAATGGTTCTACATGGCCTCATAACCAATCGAATAACCCTTTGCATGATTAAAATGTGTTGTATATGCTTCTATACAGTACTAAAAAGAGTTCTTCTCTTGTTACAGGCTTGACATCGGTTCTATATAGAACCATCTGCACGTTCTCTTTCGATCTTAAGAACCATTTAATGATGCAATTTATTCATGCAAAAGGTTCTTTGAGTGTTCATGGTTCTATGCAGAACCATTATCTTTACTAAAAACCCTTGAAGAACTGTAATTTTTAAGCCCACATAGATGGAGGAGTAGTGGCCCACTGAGCTGTGCACTTGGACAAACCTACTTAAACTTCTCATTTAGGCCTACTGTGAAGGATTAACATTAAGGGGCCTATCATTTGCCAATGAGCAAAGTCTTATGGGCCCTGTGCAGTCCTCTGTGGGGCACTAGTCAAGCTAGTGTTGGCCTAGGGTTCTGACCCACCAAGTCAAACGGCACCAGGCCGTCCATCCCGAACCATCACAATACCAATAGCACTTTGTATTTTGGGTCTACTCGTCCTGTTAGTTATAAGGGTCCCTGCAAATTAGTACAAAATTATTCTGCCTGATCATCTTTGTCCTGTGATAAAAGTCTTCTATCCGGATGGTAGTGGTCTCATTCAGGGGTCACTGATTGGATTTATGAGTATGAAAATTATGTAAATTGTATGCTATGGCCTTCGCGGTAACTAGATCTCAGCCTATTTGAGCAGCTATGGGAGATTTTGGGCCAAAATGTTAGACTGTCCTCTCCACCACCATCATCAAAACACCAACTGAGGGAATATCTCTTGAAAGAATCCCTGCAGTACAGTTCCAGAGAATCTATGCCAAAGCGCAGCGAAGCTGTTCTGGCAGTTCATAGTGACCCACAACCTTACTAAGACACTTAATGTATGTTGGCCTTTTCTATGATATGTCATCCAGCTGTATGTATGTGCACAGATTAAAGGCAGGAGGGAGTAACAGAGATCAAAGTATAAACTTACAGGCACAGAGGAGAAGAGAAATCTGTCCAGAATCATGAACTCTTAAGGGGGTCTTGTTTCTCTCTCTCTCTCTCTCTCTCTGGCTAACACTCTGTATGTGTGTTTGTGTAATTTTATCCAGAGGGCTGCTGCTGTTGCCAAGGAACCTGTTGCTCTGCTATGATGTTACTGGGTGATATTAGTCTGCAGCAGGTGTGCAGAAAGCACACATGCAAAGCACTGTCTTAGCACAGTTAACATATAAAGCATTTGCATAATTTCACATGATAACATTGCAAATGCCGCCTACAATCTCAAAACAAACCTTTTTTGCTGTCTGATTACATGAGTACACACACACACAAGCACAGACACACACACACACACACACACAAGCAGTCATTGGGAGGAAGGCAGGATTACTTGAGTATTAGCATTATTATTTTTAGCATTGTTATTATTATTATTATTAATAGTAGTAGTAATGCAGTTACTGTATGCATTGATGCACTTTAATAAAATACATTTTATTTATTTGATTAAGATATAGAGGTCCAACTCCTCCCTTGTCCATTAGCTGCAGTGGAGTAATGGAAATGAGTTAATAGGCTATTTGAGGTTTGCTACATAACAGCTTACATGCTACAGAGTACTGTGGCTCCCTCTCATGGAACAGGCAGTCAATGGTAGCTAATGGGAAAACTTAAGATGTTTTAATAACACTATATATATATATACATATATATCGCTGTTGTTGGAAGAAAACCTAGTATCTCCAAAATGGTAACTTTACAGGAGAAGCAAAAAACCTACTTTACTTTTAATGTAAGTCAATGGAACCAGACATTTTTCCAGGTAATTTTGGGCCATTCTTTTGGTCTGTTCTTCATGAAATTTACATACGATGTAAAGAACAACAGGTATTTTCAAATTTTGTCAAAACTGGAAACTGAAGGTTTTCTTCCGAAAGTAGCAATATATGTATAAAATGTCACCACAGAATATTTTGTGGTACCACATTGTGATACCAATGCAATAAAACTACCCTTTGTGGTTCATGAATGGTCTCAAATTGTTTTATTATTTGGTGTTAAATAGGTCATAACCACCTTAATCATTAATAAAAGTTATATAAATAAAAAGGGCAATAGTGACCTGTTGCTTGTCAAATAGTGAGCCCATGTTCGTCCATACTGTGAAAATAGAGAAGTAAATAAAACAAACACCAAATTCACCTGTTACTAACGGTTACTTCTCTATTTGAACTTAAACAGTCACAATGCAGCTACAGGTACTACAGGAACTAACAGGAATAAATACTTGAAGTTAGTTTGTTTGTAAGCCCACTTTTTGCACTGTAACAAAGTCAGATAGAAATTTCAAAATGTCACTGTTGCATGTAAGAGCACTAACTAACAGAACTAGCACTGTCAATGATCTTATTTCTGAACAGAAACTGGATCTGATTATACTTACTGAAACCTGGCTTAGTTCAGAGGGGGCAGTGTGCTTGATTGAAACTGCCCCACAGAATTATGATTTTATCCATACTGTACGGGAGAGTAAGAAGACAAGTGGTCTAGCTGTTGTTTTTTCCTGTATTTTTAATTGCAAAAACATTTAATTTGGAACGGTTTCTTCTTTTGAATATCTTGCCACTCTACTTAAAGTCAGGAACCAGTCTTGATGGCGGTCATTTATCGTCCACCAACTATGCACCCTTCTTCTTGCCAGAACTGTCTGAACTACTGTCTGTCTAGGTAACTAATTATTATCGGATTCTTCTGACTGGCACGTAACTAGTCCGACACATACTTATGGTCACACTTTGGTCATTAGTCCTGTCACAAGGTTTATTTATGAACATAAATGAAATTCTCGATATCGCCATCTCTGATCACTACTGTGTGTTTCTTAGTATGTCTGCTTCTGTTGACATGAAAGTGTAACAAAAATTAAGAAAAAACAGAATTTTAACACAACTGCGGCTGCTTTTAGTAACACTCTTCATTACAAACCCCCTCCACATATTAACTCCACAGTGCATGATATGGTCAGCAATTTTAACTGTAAGGTAAGATTTATTCTAGATACTGTTGGACCAGAAAAAACTAAAAGGCCTTGACCACAAAATGCCATGGAAAAATGAACAGATAAACAGATTGAAAAGGCCCCAAAGCAGAGTGGAAATAGAGCAAAACTGTTCACTTTGAAATTCTCAAAATTCTCTTGAAATTCTCTTGTATTATTATTTATAACAATGCAGCATGAACAGAGAGACAGAAATACTACTCAAAATATGTTAATGACCACAGCACAACAGTTTTATTTTCCATAATTGATCACCTGTTAAGTCCTAAATTAACCAATGATTGTCTCACTGAGGCTTTTTTAAAGGAGCATTTGACAACCTTTGTCCAAGTGTGCTGGACATTGTAAATCGTTTGGAAACCAGCACTTTTCCAGACACACTTAAAACAGCAGTTCTAAGTCCACTGTTCAAACACAACCTTGATCCCTCAGTTCTTAGCGCTTACAGATCAATCTCTAACCTCCCATTTTTAAGTAAAATAATTGAAAAATAGTCTTCTCATAGCTTAATGATTTCTTGAAGACAATAGTCAGGAAAAATTTCAGTCTGGCTTCAGAGCAAATCTCAGCACTGAAACAGCATTAGTGAAGGTAGTGAATGATCTGAGAATAAATGCTAGTGCTGGTGATGTTTCACTATTTATGCTTCTGGATTTAACTGCTGCATTTAGATACTATAGACCACACAATACTTCTAAATCGGCTTGAGAACTTGGTTGGCCTTTCTGGAACTGTATTAAACTTGTTTCCTACATGTTTAACTGGAAGACAGTATTTTGTAAGCATAGGTGAACATATCTCAGATAAGCATGATATTATCTGTGGTGTAACACAAGGCTCTGTACTTGGTCCACTTTTGTTTTCCTTGTATATGCTGCTACTGGGTCAGATTATTAGGAAGCATGGCATCAATTTTCATAGTTATGCAGATAATTCACAACTGTATATATCTGTGGCTCCAGACTTCACTTCAGTAGATAAGCTTGCTGTATGTTTGCTGGATGAATAGCAATATTCAGAAGACAGAAGACAGAAATAATTATAATTGGTTGTGAAGCAAAGAGGAACAACAAATAGAGGAACTCTACAAATAAAAAATGAAGTTAGAAATCTTGGTGTAACTCTAGTCTCTGATTTAACTTTTAAACCACATATCAATAATATTACCAAACTGCTTTTTATCATTTAAGGAATATTGCATGAGTTTGGCCTCATCTCTGTCTGCAAGATGCTAAGAAATTGGGCCATGCTTTTGTGTTTTCTCGACTTGACTACTGTAAAACTTTGTTCATAGGACGTCCTGCAAACATATTTCTTTACTTTAGCATTTAGTTTTTTATTGTTTCTTTTGTTTTTACTGGAATATTATTATTACTTTTATTTTCTTGTTAGTTACATTTTTGTAGTTTTTAT